AGGCGCAAGCTCCGCCCCGTGAATAAAGTCCGAGAGTAAAGTACTTTACCCACGACTTTAACCGACCATGTTTAAAGTGCCACTGTTAGTGAATAAAAAAAATGACGCTTTAAATGTAAAAAAAATAGAAAACATATATTAACAATTCCTTCAGGTACATATTTATTAAATACTAATTAATGTTAGAGTTAACATTAAAATGATTTAATTAATATCTATATTTTATATAAATTTAAGTTCACCTTTAATTGAATGCATTGAATCCAGTATCCTAAAGTCATCTGGCCATTAATATTTTTTAACGCAGTGTCAATGCTGAGTGTTTTCATGCACTTTATTCCAAAACTACCAGAAGAATTCAAAATTGAGCTGATGCATCCAGACTCTAAATTTGATTTGATTTCCTTTTTATTATTTTTTCGTTTCAGCTGCAGTAAACGGAAACGTTTTGTTCGCGGAAAATTCTCTACAGCAGTCAACACAGAGAGTCTGCAAATTTGAATATCCATTTCCGTTTTGGAATGTGTTGGTGTGGTATTTTGTCAGGAAAAATTACGGGTAGTTCTACAGTTATACGGTTATATATAATATTAAAAAATGCAATATTTTCTCTCTTCTCAAAATGAAAAAATTTGCAGCCTGTTTGAATATGTAATAACGCCTGAAGTATGATGTTCATTAGCAGACTTGTTTTGTTACCAATATACTAAAGGAAAATGTTAAAAATATAAGTATTTATTAAAATTTAATGTACTATCTAAAAATAATTCATCATGTTTTATATATTTTTTATAATTTTTCCCTTTTGACTTAAAATTTAGTTCGGAATTTGTGTAAATTTTATACTTAAACAAATAAAATTAATATTATTAGTTCGTATTATTTTTTTGTCATTCAGTATCACTACAAGTTTTCAACCAAACTTACACCTCCATTATTACAAAAAAAAATTATATATCGACGTAATAATAATGATCGCAATAAAAAAACGTAACTACTTCAGTAGTTATTAGCCTCTACGTTCGGTGGCGTAAAGATTATCACGTTTATATTGCTCCTACGATTACCGAATGGATTTTACTGACTGACTTGCCTATAAGAACTTGTATATTACGTTCACCATTCGATAATAATGCCCATAAGCGCATTAGCTGCGCCAACGTTGAACATAATGTATGTTGTATACGTGGGCTCAGTCGAGTGTGAATGATGCCATTAGCGAAAATTGAGTGCGCCGTCGGCATCAGTGTCATCTTAATTTTGCACCTGGTTGCGAGAGACAGGAGCGAATATAATACCATATGCCTGTTTTGAGTAGATATGCTACAGATAGAATAGATGTAAGTGTTGTGTGAGTAATAGCGTTAATATCAAGCGCTAGAACAGAATGGATGTTGCTACAGCGGATATGTGATAAAACATTTATCGGCAAACTTAATTAGAAGTCATTTCACTTTGGCAAAACGTATTAGATGTCAAAAAATGCAGATAAAAGGGTATTTCAGGGCTCGCGGCAAACAAGATCCGGAAGTCCAACCAGGTTGTGTTGTGAAAGACACACATGCCAAACACATATTTTAGAGACAAGGCCTTTACTCGAATTAAATGGAGATATAAACTTAAACTTAAATACTACAAACATTGAGGTGATCTCAGTTCCAGAAACTTTTTCCAAATAAAAAAAATGAATTTTAAAAATTGGAGCAAGCGCTTAGTACCATCAGCACATGTTTCCATTCTCTTCCGCCCTCTCCGGGTCCTGGACTGCTTTTTACCCATTTTGTGACGGCGATTTTATAGAGCTGTTACTTGCCCGTCAATTCGGCAGTTTCTAGTACCTGTCTGAACGTCATCGCCACATCAATATTTCCGGTTATAACGGAGCTTCCTGTCGATTGTTGAGGTGCCCCTGGGCTATCTGTTGGGTGTAAGGCATGAACCTACCCACCCCAACCGTAAGAACGGAAGTCTTGTGGTTTGGTTTGTGCTATTAGGGCACGTAATGAGAGGGAGGAAATCAGGAAGGGTGGCTGGGAGTTTGAACCTACTAATACCGCTCCAAGTACTAACGGTACTAACCGTACCCGACGCGCTTAACTTAGGTTATACCAGGCTGAGGCCATTCCCTGATGGTAGTATACCTTTAGTATATCTCACAATGTATTTTACCAGATGTAAAATGAAATATTTTCTACAAACAATTTATCCAGAAAATCTGCTTTTATTTCACCACATTTTTATTCTCATATCCCCGCTGAATATGCCCAACCCTGCCCGTTCAACGTTAGTGCACTTAACGCGTAAAACATAAATTTAAATTGCAAATTCGTACCATACAGCATTTCAAACGTGCCTAGTTACTAAATCAGTTGAGTTATGAAATAATGCGAGTAGAATTTTTGGTCAGAGACTACAAAGTGCGCTATACAATTGTGTAGACTGTTTTTCGAATTGTAGGTAAATAGCAACAAACAAATTAAACTATACTAAACATTACTAACTAAAGTTACAACAAGTTAGATCGTTTCTGGTGAGTGGGCAACGTTGGTATTGTTAATGTTCGCCCAAATACGAACGAATGCAATTCTGTGCAAGCTTTACTATTACCTGCTGTATGCGTTACTTGTAAAGTTGGTAATTTATGCAACAATATTTGTATGTTATACTGTCAAGTATTGAAGTGCATAAAAATGGTTAATAATTGGGTATTGAGTGTATCAAACTCAAATGTTAGCTTTAAACTGTATAAAAATGTATAAAATCAAAAATATTCATTTTTTTCTTACTCCTTTAAGGGGCACACCTAGTGTGACAACCTAAAAAATTGCCATTTTTGGGAATTAAAAAAAAGAAAAGCTAGTGAATCCACCTATTCAAAATGTTGAGGGTATATTTATACATGTTTAGTAAAATTTTTGAAATAAAATATTAAATATTTTTGAAATGAAACGCGATCTCCTGCGGCGCCAAAAAAAGGTCCTCCACTGCTGGAGTATTTGCAGCCCTCTCCGTCGATAAAACCAAACAAAAAAAATTCTCCTTAAACTAAAACATATTGTCTGTACAATGACCCTCGGGCGATCAAAAAAATCAAAAATTGACAAAATGGCGACATATTGAATAAAAAAGTTAAATTTTTCCCAAAATTTTGGTCGTTTTTGGCCTGCCAAAATTCGATTTTTGATCAGATCAAAAAACTGGAGGGTCATTGTATGGAGAACTATCTAGAGGAGATGCAAAAAAAATTTGATAGCGATCGCATCATTTGACTCCGAGTAATCACTCCAGCAAATTCGAAAAATACTGTTTCGAGAAAACCGCGTATAAACATAAAATGCAACTATCTAATTGCCGAGCGGATACTCTTTTAAAAGGCTGTTACTCAAAAACTATCTCAAATATCGAGTTAAAATTTTAGTATGTTATTTTTAAAGATATAACCTATCGAAATATGGTAAAAAAAATTCGATTTTTTGAAAATTTCACACTAGGTGTGCCCCTTAAGGCGCCAGTTTTTTCATGGTTTTCAGACACAAAAAGTAGTACTTCTTCTACGGTCGGCCAAAGTCGTGAGTAAATTATTTTAGTCACAAGCTTTATTCACGGGGCGGAGCTTGCGCCTGCGCATTTGCCTGTGTTGCAGCACAAGACCATTTGAAATGCCATGCGTCGCATGTCAAACAAGTTAAAGCATGCGCTGCGGCTACTATTATCGGCGCAGTACGGAATTTAAAACCTTACATTTCTCTGTTGTGTTCGAGCGAATTTCAAATATAATATTTGAAATACAAAACAATCAACGTGAAATAAAGTAGAAGTAGATAAAATAGTGTAAGCATCACGTGGCTAAACCTTGTTAAAACACTTGATTGATTAAACGCTCGCCACTTTCGCTCTCAATCAATCTCGTGACAAAAACTCCCGTTTAACTACTTAATATTTAATATAGTAGGTATTTAAAGACAAAACAAGTTTCACTTATAGTACTTATCCGCCAACCAGATATAAAAACTAAAATTATTATAAATTTAAAAAAAATCCATCTGTTACGCAATATACCATTAAAAATTCCTATTAATTTACATCCTGTATATCAGGTAGCTCTACTACGTAAGTATCGACTATGTGAGAACGTAATATGAGTGCATACCAGAACAGAGGAAGATGAATTAGTAAACCGAACCGTGAACCACACCGGATTTGCGTTCATAGAGTGTTTGTGCACTCCTCGAGCTCGTAATTTAATCAAACGTTTGTTTCATCCGAGCGAACCGCCTGCATTTAACTCTTAGATAACAAATTTAAGTAAGCAACTACTCACACAATCCGCAAATTAAATATTTAATATTTAATTTAATTCCCGGACTAATAATGGTGGCGTTAGTTAAGGTGAAAGATTAATAAATGTTTCACATTTTGTTGTCATAATTTTTGGATCATAATTAATTGATATATTATCAGCTTGTGTGTTTTTATGGTAACTTTTAAGAATTTATTACTTATTGCTATATTAAATAGAAAAAAGCATAATTGAATTTAATATGTAAAGTGGTTTTCTGATACTTTTGCACAATGCAAGCCGATTGCAGAAATAATTTTCGCGTTCAAGCTGTCGTAGTCACTTCGTCTTGAAAAACCTTTCAAACGCTTATAACTTGTGAAGTTTAAAAAATCGATTTTTTGTGCACCATTTAGAAAAAAAAAGAAATTGTGTTTCTGGAGGTATAAAATATGAAACAATAGCTTATAATTTGTGTACCGCAGTTATCCTGTTACATAGTCTTTTGTTTTTTCTGTTCCTTTGCCTTCTGTTCTTTACTTAACAATTAAGCAGAACAAAGTGTGACTTTGTAATTATACACCTTTTGCGTATATACTGTTCATAATAATAATAATTATTATTATAACAATAATAATGCTGCTAAACATTTCCCAAATAACTTTCAAACAATTATTATTCGCCTCGCAAGTAATTATTTATTAATTAAAAGTTACTGTACCTTATCATGATGCGTGTACAATACAATCCACAGTAGATCACACTAATTAAAGTTATAAGTAATATATTTATTGACACTTCTTCACCTTTACAAATAAATTGCACTGTGATAGTTCGTTAACGCTGCGCTGATGTGCAGTGTGCAGGTTGCACTGTCACGTACGCGACGGAGGTGGAAAGCGGAGGCGGCGCGACCAAGACGCCCTCGCAACTTGGGGAACCGACTGCGACTGAACGAACGATTGTACGGACACAGGCGGCGGACGCTTTTTGCCGCCACACCGCCACCATCAACACGAGCCTGTTTCTTTTATGCCGCCGCCAGCGCCGCTTTTGAAATATTATATGCTATTCATTAAAAACATGCTCCAACGCGTATATAAAAACAAATCTAATATCTAATATCATAAGAAAATATGTGTAAATATATGAAAATTTTATAATTAAAAACATAACCTCAATTTTTACCTGTTAACTATGTCAGAATGACAACTGTCAAAAAACATATCGGAATGATATCGGAAGTAATGATTTTCTGATTAATCATTAATTGTCGTGATGTTTGTAATGCATCTATTAATTAATGTACGTAGTTGCATGCGTTGGTTGGTGGAATGTTTCAGAGAGCGTATTGTATTACCAGCTCTGAGTGCATCAAACGAATGATGGCAATAGAGACGGTACATTCCAAAGATTTCACGTGCATGAATGGATATCAATCGAACCGTATTCGGATGCGTTTGACGATTTCATGAGATGATTTTGTTATTACGCGCCGTGTAATATTCGGTATGGACGCCGAAGCAATAAATACCAATATATAGTTCAAATATGGAATTTAATTGAACGGTTGACATTGAAAAAATAAACAAACAAACACAATTGACTTTATTTTTTATAATTGGAAAAGAGGCAGAAATCGGATTTATTTTTCATTTTGCTTAGCATTTTTTGTAGACATTTTCTCTCCAAATACACCGTACCAACATGAACAAAAATTAATATTGCACTAGATCATAAACTGATTCATCAATACACCAAATTGCAGTATAGTTTTTCCAAAATGGGATGGTATTAAATTTAGAAACCAAGCAAAACTAAACTTTGAAATTTGTGGAAAGGATACTCTATAGGATATTCTATAGCTTTTGAATGAAACGCATAAGTCTGTTTCCAATTCAACTGGAATATCTTCGAAAAGCATTCATCCTTTATCGTATGAGCATAGAAGTTTTCTTATACATACTTGCAATGCTTTAGGAATGCTAGCAATGAACTTTTAATATTTAAAAGAAATTTTGCAAATCCTTACAAGGGTAAAAAGTGCGTTTAACGATCTATTGAGGAGAGGCTTACAAGTGTTGTCGTTTCACTTATATCTAATAGCCTTCCTACATAAAACTATTGTTTGTTTTACTGAAAATAAACCTATCCCTTTATCAATCTGTGCATCATTAAAATTTTTAACGATGACATCAATCTCTAGTACGCTCATAATCCTTATTAACTGCACACACACACACACACACCACATAACAAAAACTACCTATAGCGGTAATTGGCGTTTTCAATACGACTGTAAACTACCGTCGCAATTCATATCCCCTTGATGTATTACCAGTTAACAACAACCAGTTGAGGTTACAAGATACAAAGTTAACCTCAAAACTTAGCTCCAGTGAAACATGAATAAAACGTTAGCACGAACTCAATACACTTGCGCATCTTCTGACGTTCCATAGGTTTTAACCTAAATTAATAACCATGTAATCCTAATGTATTAAAAGTTGTATAACATGGGGAAATGAAAAATCTACCCCATCCATCGCAAATCGCATTATGTGAGGCAATAAATCATCCTATTACGTCAGACAATGCTAAACACGCGTTCGATTTACATATAACCAAGAACCACGTGGATTCGCAAGGTGCCGAAATAATGTATTCAAATTGAAAGACGTCATTCGCTCAATTTCCTTCGTTTTCCACAAAGTTGTACTTGAATTAATGCATTAAACGCCTCGATAAGCGCTGAAAACAAAGAAAACGTGATTTAATAACGCGATTACTGATTCGTGATAATCGCTAATGCTCTCCAGACACGCAACATTACTTCCCCAACTACTTAAGAGTACAAGAAACACATAAAAAACACGCAGGAAATTTCGTTGGGAGATTAGTAAGGCAATTTCGAGAAATGTGTTTATATGCTCAGAAATTATTTGATTACGTTGATTTTTATATTTTTTATTAATATTGCACGCTCCATTGTCGAAACGAAGCCGCACAATAAAAAATACATTAACACCCTTTCGCTCAAGGTTCGGCCTGACCTTCCATCTTCTTCAAGAACGCTTCCTTCTTCTGCTTGACGCGATCCTTGCGCTCCAGAATCGTGAGCTTGGCCCTGTTCCATCTCTTCTTCTTCGCTGGTTCCTTCTTCTCCGGCTTCTTCGATGGCGTAGGGTCGGCGCGGATGTTTTCATGCGCTTTCTTGTATACATCTTCAATCTAAACAAGAATAGACAAACGATATAGACAAAGATACAATTCTATTTGGACTATTTCAACTAAGGTAAGGTAATATGTCGGAAGTAAATTGTCACAAGTAAATCAAAATGAATTAATTGCCTTGTTAAACAACCTGATTAATGTTGTCCAACTTCGACACTGCATTAATCTTATGTATTAAAGCAGCAATTTTGCTTGGACGTAGTTATGACTTATAAAATATATATGCGTTCTAAATACCATGTCGGCGGTAAGTCCCTCCTTGATGTACTGACTGAATTGACGCTTGAAGGCCTCGGGGTCTTCCTCTTCGAGACTCCTCATGTAATCGGCAACGTGTGTGCCGAAAATATGTGCACGGTGCACCTCAGCGTTCAGTGACTTGCCCTCGCTGTCGTAGCCGGGGAAACGCTTGGTGGAGTGAGGAATGTTCAGACCACCGTCGACGGCGCCCTTCATCGCGGCGAAAACACGCGCGCCTGTTGTGGTACGCTGGAGACCCACATCCAAATAACACCTGCACAAAACCAACCAAAAATTGCAGTATTTCTTTCCCAAACAAACAATAAAAGCTAAATTTTAAATTGAAATATCAGAGACACTTTCTAATCAATAACTGATGAGAAGTAGGTAACTTCAATCATCCAAGTGCATAAAACATGCACCTGGGGACCTTGGAAACTTCCTTTCTTATCAAATCAGATGACGCGCATGTGTCTGAATGGTCATCATTTAAATGCATTAAAAACGTCAAAATTGAAACATATGCTTACCTGAAAGCGCCTGGTCCCTTCTCGACATCGTCGATGATGTATTCATCACCATTGACCTCAGTAGTGCCCTCATACAGCTTGTCTAAGTGCAACTTCTTCAGCAGACGACGCGCCAACAACAGACCGGTAGCGTAGCACGCAGCATAGTTGGTCAGACCAACTTTGATTCCATACCGTGGCAACTCGTGCGAGTACGCTGAGCAGACAATATGGTCTCCCTCAATACGGGAGTATGCCACCTGAACGGTCACATCACGGTTGGAACGACGCACAATCAGACGGTACTTGGGGGTGTTGTATTTGTTCTTATCTTGAACCACCAATCGTTTACGAGCATAGTAATCGGTTTTTCCTTCACGACGCCTCTTGTACTTGACTTGGAAGCGCTTGAAGTACTGTTTATTCTTCACGACTTTCACGAAACCCTGCAAACAAACACGACATGATTCATCAATACATAACCACACAAAAACAGGCCGAGTGTACAACATCAACTACAACCATTTCGCGAAAGATGATAACACAGATCACTCACTTTAAACAAGTCACTCACACTTTATTAAACTTTAAGATTGTTTATATGATGTTATTCCAGGTTTACATCTGTGATAAACGTGCGGGTTTTGTTTTGATACCGCTGTGGAAAAACCGCCTCGAAAAAATCGACAATCATCCAGTCGGGGATACAGTTCTCACAGAAAATATTACGTGAGGAGCAAGAATTAGGGTTGAGGAACGTGTTAGACGTGATATTTGTGTTTAAATACGTACCATTTTAACGGATTATTCTTAAATTATTACAACATGGACTCGTCGAGGCACTTCAAGCCACCGCGGTCCGGATAGAAAGAGATAGGCCAACACGCATGCGTCGCACGTCAGGAAATACGTCATTGGCTTGGTGTATTTTGTTTGGTACTAAAAAAGTCCCTAGATTTCAAATTCAATGCTGTCAAATAGATACAGCAGGTAAACTTCGTGAATTTTTCCCAGTGATTACTAAAAATATTAATAGAAAGCTTACCTAACACAACACAACACTTAAATTATTCGGCAGTAATCAAATATTTTATTAAATTTAATTCTTTTTGTTGTTATTATACATGAAATAATACCCCCACATTTAAATTCAAACAATATCTGAGTGATCTGAGTTATTCACACCTTGATATCATATGTAATGGAACGACCTAATTGATATTAGAAATATTTATCTAATTGACTTAAAAAATCAGTCAGAAAGAGTAAAATTGTAAATACATTCAAGGTACTTAGCATTGTAATAAATTTAGTTCTCACAACAGCTTCAATATTAGAGTTTGGCATAGGCTTGGGCTTGGAAACCTTAGAGGTATTTGAAGCTGATAAGTTTGATAAGTTTTGATTCAAACACCTACTCTATGAGACCATAACTTGAAGTAATAACGACTAGACTGCTTACAGTAAGACTAGAATGATTGTTAACTAGATTGTGCTTCACAAATCACAACCAAATCACAAAATGTGGATTATCTACAACTATTATTATCAATACCATACCGGGACTCCTAATAAATGCTTGAATTCGAAAAACGCGAAAATAAAATCAGTAATATTCAGGAGTTTTGCATATTGGCAGCAGGACAAGAATTCCAAAAAATATCTCCGCAACCTGCAGGCCCAACTGGATTGCACAGATGATATATTCAAATCTGATCACAAAGCTTTGCCACAGCAGGAAGTAGACCACTCCGACTGCAGACGGAATCGTGAATAGTATTGCGATTAATACAGGCCACCCTGAAATAAAATATTAGCATTAGTAACATGTTATTGTAGTGTCAGAAAAGACAAAATTTGATAGCAAAATAATCTAATAGTTCATTAGTTTACTCCTTTGAGTAGGCAACCCAACTTACAAATCACGGTACAGGTGCGATAATTTCTGTTCCTACGTTAATTGTTTATTTCTCATAAATACAAGATGTTATATTCATCTTGCTTTTCAAATATGAATTCTGTATCTAATTCTATTCTTATACCTATATAAGATGTTGTTGATTACAGCAAAGTCTATGAATATATCTTCTTAACTAATTATTTTTGGCAATAATTATCAACATATTTAAGATTGATTAAATACAGAATTTAATGACTTAGACAAGTTCAGGTATCTCCTTGATACAAAATTTGATAGTTTCAGTCTATTATTTTATGCATGTCAATATGCTGATATCTTGACTTACATTTTTCAGTCAAGTTTCCTTTACGAGCAATGATAACGCGAATCAATTCGATACCGCAGACGGCGAGAAGAATGCCGAACTCAGTGCCGAAACTTGGTACCGGCTGATTGATGACTTTTACCACGTTCATTCCGATCTCGCAGATGGCAAAGAGGCCGAAGTAGTATGAGTTCAGGTACAGGAGCACTTCGAATGTCAGCGATACATTCATACTTGGACGACGGTAGGCGAGTGTAGACTCGCGCTCGTTAGGTAAACATGTTGGGAAACAAGTAGCTTCTGTTTACTGTAAGGCGCAATTGGAATGTCAGGAATGGTGAGTGGCCACCAGATGAGGAACTGTGCGGAATGTGGGTGGATTTTGCTTACAAACATAAACAGATGCGGTAAACATTTTTAGTTCTTGTTTTACTCGCTTGTCAAACAGGGCGCTATTTCAATTGCAAGCACCTGTAAAACTCTCGAAAACCACACAAAAACTGAGATTAAAAATGTTTAAATATTTTTGAATAACTAATCTATTGGTAAAAATTTGTTTTACGCTTTATTTGTAACATTTAACATACATTATTGTTTCACAAGACCATCAATGACCTTTCAATTGCATTTATAATGCGAGTGCAGCGCTTTTCGGTAAACTTGGGAACTAATTCTACAAGGTGTATGGTACCAATAATTGAATGATTCAAAATATTTGGTTTTGTACTAGGACAAAACAATTATATTTTGTCTATGTTTTATACATTATCATATCAAATTTTAGTAATACAATAAACATTTTTTCACTTTTTCGAATAATATTATATACATATAAGAAAATTGTGAAACATCTAGTATAGTTATTCGTAATCTACAAATTTCTGACTAAACAAATATTCCTAACCTAGAATGTCACAGTAAAATGTAACGCTGTCTTGTTTTTCCAGTATTTCGATTAATTATTAGTTATTAGTGCTCTGTGACTGTACGAACTGAGATGGAAAAAGATGCACAACAAGGTGGAAACACGCAGCACGATCTGTACCTGCAGGAAATTGAAGGAATTGACGACTACTGGGGACCCACTTTTAGGTGTGCACAAAGTTTACAACCAATCACTTATTTGCTTATCAATATTGATAAGCTAATGTGAATATATAATTTTACAGAGCAATATATGATAATGATGAGCATGTTGCATTTGGACAAAAGTTAGAAGAAAGAATCAAACATCATGATAAAGATATTGAAAGATTATGCAATGTTTACTATCAGGGATTTATTGAGTCAGTTAGAGAATTGTTGGAGGTCAGATCACAAGCTAAAACACTGAATGTAAGTATTAAATTTAATACTTTGCATAGCAAAATTGAGAAAAGTGGAGTTTAAGTATAAAATAAGAGTCAACATGTACAAAGATTTATTTTAATTTACCGTTTTTATTGTGAATCTGATGACTACTTGAAGATTAAAGTAAGGGTAATTAAAAGGGCATAATAGCACCACAGTGTCACAATACACAATCATTTGCAAGGCACCACATGAATTTGTTTTATGATATTTTCCTCTTCTACACTTCACACTACTTTTTCTAAGCATTGAACAATGTCTTCACTTTTCACATGATTGAATATTTCTGAATTTCTAATGCTTGCTTCATATTTACAGTCTGAAGTATTAACACTTGATAAGCAGTTGCAAGTAGCTGCAGAAGGAATCACCAAATCTGGCAGTGAATTATTGCAGGCCAGGAAGGTGCAAAGCAACATTGCAACTGTCATAGCACAATTGAATTTGTGTTTGCCTGTGTTAATGACATATTCAAAACTTAAGAAGCAAATTGCCGAGAAAAGGTAAATAGATAAATTAAAAATTGATAAATAGAAGGTTGCACCTGATTATTTAAAATATTTTTCAAGGTATTATCCTGCATTGAAGACTCTAGAGGAACTTGAACATACACATTTGCCACATGCTGCTTCATATAGGTTTTCATTACAATTAATAGAAAGTATTCCAAAGTAAGTCTAAAAACATGAATAACAATTTTATTTCTGGATGTGATGTTTCATATTTATCATTGATTCGATGTTTGTCGTTTAGAATTAGAGAAAGTATCGAAACAGCTTCCATGTCAGATTTAAAAGACTTCTTAGAAAATATCAGGAGATTCTCGCCAAAAATAGGCGAAGTTGCCATGCGTCACGTAAGTTGCGGTGATTTTTACTTATTACTCGGATTATATTCGGATTGTTATTTTTATTTAGACAAACGAACAATTAGCCAATGATCCAACTCTAGTAGGCCGTAAGAAGAAACGAGCCGCACCACAGCCAAGCGAATCAATGTCGTCAAGTCAATACGAAGAAGAACTGAGTGCACAGGAGATGATTGATTTCTCACCGATTTATAGATGCCTACACATTTCAACCGTTTTAGGTTCTCGCGCAACTTTTGAGACTTACTATCGCGCTGAGAGAACTAAACAAGCAAGATTAGTGCTACAACCACCGCCGAATATGGTAAAAATGTTTTAAATTTAAAAGGCTCAACGCCATCATTTCGTTATATTGATGTATTTTTATAGCACGAGTCCGAAGAAAGTTACAGACAATACATTTATGCAGTACTGGGATTTTTTATTCTGGAGGATCATGTTTTAAATACTGGTAATGGATTGATAACTAGAGCGTTTTTAGATGACATGTGGACAATGGCATTGACAAAAATCGTCACTGCATTACAAACCAACTCGGTTAGTTTATTCCTAAAACATAACCTAATTTTGTTTTAATGCAAAAATTGTAATATTTTAGAGTTACTGCACAGATGCAACGTTAATATTGCGTATTAAAGATTTGATTATGTTGTTTTGCACCACGTTACGTAACTATGGCTATACGGTGAAGCCACTATGGGAACAACTGAGGGAATTGAGGGATCATTACACCGAGGTGCTTATGCAACGCTGGGTGCAAATCTTTCGCGAGATTTTATCCAAAGAAGATTTTCAAGTTATTCAGGTTAGTTACAAACGAATATAATAAAAATTTATGGGGCGAAGTCGAATTTAACCGGCATTAATTATTTAGGTTCACGATCAAGAAACATACGATGAAGTTTCACTTTCATTTCCTTTCGATGATGATCTTCCCGACGATATCACGTTTCCGTTTAGGTTTCCCATCTCCGGAATGGTACCGAAAGTGTACCAGCAGGTAAAGGAGTTTATCTACGCGTGCTTAAAGTTCTCTGAAGACTTAAACCTCAGGTAAATATATATTTTATTTTAGATTAAAGTTCATATTTAAACAAAGATTTAGTAAAATGTCTAATATTTTCTGATTTTTAAATTGTTTTAGTCAAGTAGAAGTAGATGAAATGATACGTAAATCAATGAACCTGCTTCTGACGCGCAGCTTCAGTGGCTGTTTGTCATCTACATTCCGCAGTAATCACATAAATATGCAAGAAATTATACAGATTATCATTGATACTGGATATTTGGAACGCGCGACGATTTATTTAGATCAGTTTATATCAAACATCACTGGGTATGTAGGCAACTGCTTAATCATAAAACGTAACCTAATTTTGAGTCAATTTTGGGTCTGATAGTGAGGAATGTAGAGGTGTAACAACCGGTGTGGTTCAGGGCCAGCCAGCAATGTTTCGCGTTGCGCGTGAAGACGCGGTTCGACAAATTTGTGAGAAACTCAAACACAAGTTAGATCAGTGTATTGAGTTGGAAAGTTACGATTGGTTGCTGGTGGAGCCACAAGGGCACGCGTCGAATTTCATCACTGATTTAATTGCGTTTTTAAGAACTACGTTTACTAGTTTTACTAATTTACCAGTAAGTATCAAGAGATGATTATAATATGTATTATTAAGGGTTGTTTTCGTTGCTTAGCCGGAAGTAGCACAAGTTGCGTGTAAGTCTGCATGCGAACACATCGCTAATTTAATGTTGCGAGCATTACTAGACAACGATATCAAGCAGATCTCAATGGGGGCATTAAATCAATTGAATTTGGATTTACTTCAATGTGAATGTAAGAAATAGTCAAATAAGCCACATTGCTTATAATGTCCTGCTAAAAATATGAATTAATTTCATTTATAGTGTTTGCTGCAAGTGAGCCTGTGAAAGGTTTACAGGAAGATATTCTACTGTCATACTTTTTAAAGTTGAGAGAAATACTAGATCTTTTCACATCTTGGGATTGGCCAACATATTTCCATGACTACGGGCAGGAAACTTCGAAATACAAGCAAGTTGAACCGGACGTTGCTATAATCATTTTAGAAAAGTAAGTTTGAAATAATTTAGGAAATAATATTAGTGATTATAATCAATATTGTAATTTTAAAGGCTGCGTGAAGGTGACAAGAAGACAATGTTCACGGTGCTCAAGAAAAGTGAACGCGATAAAAAGAAACTTCTAGAGACAGTCCTCAAACAACTGAAACAATTGTCACAATTTCCAACCGGCAATAAGTAGCAGGTCATCTTTTATTAGTATAGGTAAAGTATAATGGTTAAAAATGAACATTATTTATGACGAATCACAAAATTGGCAGGTCTTATACAAAAATTAATTTTTGATAGACTTTTTATTGATTAATTTGATTTGTTTTCGAATATTTTATTAAAACTTTTCCTGATGTCACATTACTTCTCACTTAATTTAAACATAAACATTGTTGAGTGCATAACACTGCTTTGTTGTTCATTTGAGACTATTATACTTTGCTTCATATCATAATCAAAATTAGAACTCTGTTTATATGTATATCATGTATAGAATGTTTATATAGAAGCGCAGTAATTTGTTACAAGTGTTACAAACCAAAAACCGAGTATAGGTTAATTAATTATCAACTAAAAACTCATTAACTTTGTCACTCTCTGTGGTAATAAGAGTAATAATGAGCTTTAGACAATATTAACCCCTAAAAAACTGTATTAACGACGGAAAGAGAAGAAAGAAAAACTCATGTTTATTTATTCATAAGCCCCTTGTTAATAATGGAGATACATAGTTTCTAATTAGGTGTGTAAGTAATAATGTAAAAAAACGCTTTAATAATATTTTTAGAAATGGTGATATCATTGTACACACAGCAACCACACTGAAAACACGCGAAATTAATTAAGCTGTAAAGATGATACTTAACCCTGATGAGTTTTACACGGCGATCGCGCCGAATTATTGGGTATCGAAGGTGTTTGGTTTACTTCATCTTTCCTTCACCGAGAAAACTCCACAGCGCAAACTTGTTGTCACCCCATTCAAAAGTTTGATCGGTTTGTGTATTCTACGCACCGTTATTTTTCTGGCGATAACTGGTTACATCTATCTCGAATTGGAAGTGTTGGAATTTCCCGAGAACATGACCGGCGTGGCGGTACAAATCGAATTGTATCTTGGAGTCATGTTAACTATAATTGAATTTATCCTGGCGGTAATACTACGCAAGTCAGACCTTAAAATAATTGATATGTTTATCGCTCTTGACAAATCAATGTCTGCCCGTGGTATTTGTATAAGTTACAAAGGTATACGCAGAATTGCCTATTACCAAGTGCTTGCAGTTGTGGTTATGTTTCTAGTGAGTTCAGTCTTGCAAGTTTTGCGCGATAGTCAGGCACTATTAGTTATTAATGCTGGAATTAACATTGTTAACGCGGTTAATTTTTTCATGGTATATCAGTATATTAACGTTTTGCTATTGCTGAAGCAAAGATTTGTATGGTTAAACAACGCAATAGAAAATATAGGTACCAAACATAATGCCGATGAGGAAGTTCCAACTTTGCAACTTACATATGTGAATGAAAATAACAAGAGCAATTCATTATCATTGAGTCCTTACGTAAGCAAGAAGTACATGAAGATTCATGATTTGAGGAATACGATTAGGAATTACGGAAAGATTTACAACCTTCTGAGCGATTTGGCGAGTTTGATTAACGATTCATTTGGATTTTACATTTTGATTTGTATCTTGACGAGATTTATCATGATTTGCACGGAATTGATTTATTTCTACAAGCTATTTCAAAATCCAAACGATGGTGATGGTCTGGCTTATATATCCATTGTTCTTAATATTTTAATGCACGCTTTTAAGCTGTTGGCGACTGTTTCAGCCGCAGGAGCTGCATCAGCAGCTGTGAGTATAACATAAAATAATTGAATGCGTGTAATATCAAAACTATCATTTATTTATTTATAGGCAAATGCCACAGGATCTTCTTTACATACATTGTGGGATATTGGACCAGAGATCAAAGAAGAGGTTAGTGAATTATTGAATTCTGGCAACCAACATGGCATGACTTCAAAATTATTTTTTAATAGTTTAATACTATTGTAGGTCCAGTTCTTTTCATTGCAAGTAACTCATCATACAACCCAGTACACAGCGATGGGATTCTTAAATGTGGATTGTCCTTTGATGGCTTCGGTAAGTACTTAGAACAATGTTTTACATAATATTAACAGTTTTAATTAGAGATTGGTTGATTAGATTTTAGGATCAATCACTACTTATCTGATTATTGTAATACAATTTGATTTGACTTCAATAGCTAGTGAAAAGCCATGTGTTTTTCAATAATCTTTTGCGAAGAGTGAAATATGTGTTTAGAAAACAAAACTCGGCTTTAAGTTTTGACATGTTTAATTGTTTAAAATTTGACATTTTCAACTTTTTATTTTGCGTTATATTAGACGTGTGATTTTCTTTGTGTTTAAAATGGCGTCAGATGGTCTATTCTACGATTCGCTTGAGGAAGAAGAGTTTCCAGACTTAAAGTCGATGCATATAACATCCGACAAAACTAATAAATCGGACATATCTTTATCAGTTCCTTTATATACAAGAGAAACTTCCAAAGCTGAAGTATTATCTAAGAAATCACTCAGCAGTTCGCAAAAATCGCGCTGTAAGTTAACTAAACCCATGCGATCCCAACAATCCAACTTAATGTCGAGCACAACCTGCATGAGTCAACTATTTGCCGACTCAAAGGTCAAAAAGTCCTACGTGGATCTTTTTCATGCAAAAATAGGCTACGTGCAAGGCTCAGAACCCACAGAAACAAGTCGGGCGGTTTGTGACGATGACAGTTTCAAAACCGCACGCAGTTCAGCACAGAGTGACTACTCCGACGCAGAAACTTCTTCGTTCGTCTCGGATACAAGTTTCTACACCAAGTTTCTAGAAAACGAGAAGTTACTCACCGACCAAATGAGTTCGGTGAGCTGCCAAAGCGGACACAGTGGTCGCACTGTCATTAGCAAAGTCAGCAATGCTAAGAATTCGAACTTAAAGTTCAAGTGTAATTCGAAGATATCCAAATCCACTACAGGCTTACCTAGTGGAGGAAGTAAAGTTCATATTAAAAGTAAAATTGATAGACCAATCTTGAAAGTGCCCACGTTGGGTGGACTCGGGCCAGATCGCGAAGCCGCCAAGGAAAAACTCGATAATTTGAAGAAACAGCAGAAGTATGGACAGAAGGTCAGCAATCAAAACCGGGTGAAAATCATGGAGATGAAAGTAATGAAGAATTTCAAGTACGAGCTGAAAAAGTCTAGCGAATTGAATAAATGCGCCGAGAGTGTTTTACACACTTAAACCAATGTTTTATTGTAGTCCAATTTACTTTAAATCTGTTATTGGAATCAAAATATTAAGTTTTTAATCTTTTTTATTCACTGCCTTAGCACAGAAAAATAAGTGTGCAGTAAACACAATTGTAGTGGAATATGAATAACAGTAATAATCGATACTTTTAATACACTGATTTGTCCATCAAATATTTTTCAACAAGCCAAAAATCAACTTAACGGAATTTATACAGGAGCAGGTGTACCATCAGCCATCCAGTCCCAAACAGTAGAATCCCTCCAGACATATTGCCCCTTGTGGTTGTGTTTACCAATAGCCAAATATAAAGGTGCACTAGCTCCCTCTTCAATGGTCAATGGTCCTTTGTGGCTGGTCATGTCGGTATCAACGTATCCTGGATGAACACTGTTCACTGCAATGTTCTTCTCTGGTTGCGAGTTTTCAAAAATGCGCTGCTGCACGCGGCTCAGTGCACTCACACCGACTTTGGAGACATTGTATGCAGACTTGCCCCATCCCAACTCATCATTCTTGCCCTCCTTTGAAGCATCCACAAATTGAGACATCAAGTCATTCAGCTGCTCAACAGTTAAAGAATCTGCGCTGAATTTTGTTTTCAATTCCGGTGATGGAATCTTGGACAAATGGCCGCAAGAACTTGAAATATTCACCACCCTGGCATTAGTTTTCAGCAGGGGGAATAATTCTTGGCAAACTTTCACAAGGGCAAAGTAATTTGTTTCCAGGGTTTGCTCAGCTTGGACAGCAAATGGCTCAGTTGCATCATGCTATAAACAAAAAAAGACATAAGTAGAGGTAACTTTAGAAAGTTTGTTTTAGTGCTTCATTTTAAGTATGCAACCCAAGTCATGACTAGTTATATGCAGTTGCTTTTGTTTAAAGAGCTGCCAACAGCAGTTAGTTAATTATTCAAAAAGATACTCTGCTATAACAAGAAATATTGTAGTATGACATTGTCTAGTTTAACTGCGTACTGGGTTACACAGAATATTCATACACAGCAACATAATTAAGTGTCATTAATCAGTAATTAACTGAAATATCATGTTATAAACTTACTTTGAAGGCAATTGCTGCATTATTCACCAAAATATCAATTCCCTCATAGTTTTCCTTGATGAACCTGGCCAAAGACTGAATACTATCCCTGGTGAGAATGTCCAACTTGTGAAAAACTGGCTTGAAACCCAATTTAGTTAGTTTTTCGACAGCTTCCCTGCCTCGGCCCTCATCACGCGAGGTGAGCATCACATCACCGTCGAATTTCTCGCATAGGCCCTGGACAATTGCATAGCCAATGCCCTTGTTGCTACCAGTAACCTTACGATTAAGAATGTGAGCATTATATTGATTTATTATTGCGAAATACTTACAATTGCTAGTTTTTTATCGGACGGCATTTTGCTGCGAACTGTGAATCTCGGTGTAACCTCAAAATGTACAAAATTTTAACGTTTACGTAGCATTTATTGAACGTTGATTAGAAATGGCGTGTTCTGTCATTGGAACAAAAAGATAAACTTATCCGAAATATCTTATTTGCTAGAGTGACTTGATTATTAAAACAACATGAAACATGACTTGCAAGTGCCGGGTGAATTGCCAATGCCATTAATTAATTGCTATAAGTAAGTATTACCTAATAATTTGCGCGATAAAAACGTACTGAACAAACTTTTAAAAATCATGGGTACAAATTTGTTGTTATATAAGTATTGCATTAAACAATAATTTTTAAATAACTTACTTGGAATATGTGTCTATATTTAAAACTGGTTAGGCAACCCAAACATCAAATATGTTTTATTGGTTAAAATAAAGAGGTTATCTTGTAAATAAATTCATTTATTCAAACGTTTTACACAATATTATAATCAACTAAATGTACATATTTCTTCAAAATTAACTTCATCTTTAATCAACCAAACACATCTATCGATATGCATGTCATATACAGAGTAAAACGACAATCAATTATCTGGAACAATCAACGTTAGCAATAATAATCATAATTATTACACACCAGCGCTATATCACAAATCTAATGATTCGGTAAGTTGGTTTTGAATTTAAACATTTAGAGATGTCATGTACATATAACACACGACTCGTGTCTATCGATCTAGACGCTAGTCGAATTTGTTTTCTTTGAGAATACAATAAGTACATTATTAAAATTAATTATTACTTGGTCTTCGTCATGTTAATTGTTGTTAGTTTTATTTTCATTTATAATGCGTGCTCAACGTCTTTTCGTTCTAATATTAAAATTATAAACATTTCAAACGTGTTTCTTCGTTATATAATATATTATGAATATAATTATGGCTTTTTATATAAATATTTTAGGTATATAATATCTTATATATTATTTACATTTAATTTTCTTTTATTTATCATTTAAATACGCGCAGGGAGTGCAATCTGACTTGAGAAACATGTACAAACAACAAACAAAGACAATAATATCGCTTGTTTTTTTGTTTTCCAAGTCCAGGAGTACTTTATGCGTTTACGTTACTTTTATTTACCCTAACTGTAATAATTTTCTTGTTACACCTAAACGTGAGCAACAGTTAATTTTTTCACATTCATTCGTAGTCACAGAATGGACATAAACAAAATATATGTAATGATTAGTTTCTATTCTTTAAAACATTTCTAACCAAGTTTAGATTAAAGTAACCACTACAAAATGGTGTCACAAACACGTGACATCAACACTCAACAATTTTAAAACCAAACACTAAATTCCAAAACTTTTCTTTGGTAGGTATATTCAGTTCAATAATTATTTGTATTAATTGTGTGTTTAAAATTCTTATAGTATTCTCGTTAAACTTCATTCGTCGTCTAATTGTATTCGTATAACTAACTAACATAAATTTAGAAATGTCGTCGCCATTAAGGTCTCGTCAAATATTCGCCGAGGAGGACCTTTATAAGTAAATTATATGTGTTTTGATAATACATGTATACATGTATATATATGTCGACTCGAGTAATCGAGTCATAAACAGTTTTGAAACGTTCGTTAAATATTTTTATATTTTAATTCATGGAGATAGTATGTTTTACTTACAACTGATCAATTAGCCAACATATTTATATTGTTATGGACAACAAATTAACAAATTTTGGTTTCCATGCCAAGTTGTGAATAAAACATAGTATCCTATTCGTGTATTACAAGTTATAAATCACTTAGGCGCATGTAAGTTCTATATACCAATAAATTTCTTATATAAAAGCAACTTGGGTTAGTTACAACATTTATAACTCAAGAACGGCTGGACAGATTTTGATGTTTTATGATTTGTTAGATTCTTCTCCATCTCGAATAGCAGAATAACTATTAAAATATCAAAAATTATAACTTAAAAGGTGTTAAATAAGGGATGAAAATTGGTAAAAATTTTCAATCTATATATATAAAAATGAATTGCTGTTCCTTAGTCTCGCTAAAACTCGAGAACGGCTGAACGGATTTATCTAATCTTGGCCTTGAATTATTCGTGGAGGTCTAGAGAAGGTTTAAAAGGTGAGAAAAATTCGAATAATTGCCGGGAAAATCCTCAAAACAGCTCTTTTCTATAGAATAAAATTTGACATTGAGATTCAATCATAGTTATAGTTAAATAGTTGAATTCGAGATGGCGCGCTGAAGTGCATCATTGACAAAACTTTATATAATTAATTTCTTTAAATTAAAATTGCTAAGCTTATTGATAGAATTGACTCTTACTACGAGTATGTCTAGAACAAGAGAGTAAAAATGAATTACATTTTTATTAAACACTGCCGGAACGTAGTCGCGGGCAACAGCTAGTTTAAAATATTTTTAACTCTTAAAGTATATTATAATTAATTTATATTGAAATTTTAACAAATTGATAGAATATATTAACCTTTGCGATTTATACTCCTTGTAATACACGCATGAATAATAAACTATGTATTTTTGTTCTTGTTTTGATTAGATATAAGATATATTAACAGTGTGTGTCTAATATAATCTCTCTGATTTGTTTATGTTTAATTTCGTTTCGTTTAATTCATTTCATTTTTTATAGAAAAGATAGTTTTATATCGTACAAATATTTATCGTTTGTGTCATTTAAAATTTATAAGTATATTTAACTTAGTTTGTATGTGTGACTTAATATTGTTTGCTTCCTTTTACGTTTTTAGCATCTTCGTTATCGTAATATACTCTTCTCGTTAATTAGTAACTGTTGGTTTACACGTTATCAATTCCTACGCTTATCATTAATTATTTTGTTGGCTTTACGTGTTTATTTATTTATTATTTGTGTGAAATGTATAAATTGAAAAGTGTGCGCAACAATCTGTTGGTTTATACAGGGTTGATCAAAGAATAGAGGTTTTCTGAGGTTTAAACCTTTTTTTAGTTGGTAGAATTATATTATGAGCGTTGTGCTTTAATTATTGTGCATTATGAACACATAATTTTGTAATATTAAACTTGCTCAAAATAAACATTCAATGGCATCAAACGAATATTCAAAATAAAATCATATACAATTATAATTTTATTTTAAATACAAGTTGAAAATCTGAAATTTGCTGCCGCATTCTGTATGTAATGTATAAACCATTATTAGTTTCGATGTAAACTGTTAAACATTGTAATTAATTCTAATTTATTTATAATGAAGTGGCGATGTGCGGTTTGGCCGTGGTGGAGGCGATCTCTGAAAGACGCACGTCGATGGGTATGCGATCGTCATACAATGTAGGCGCTTGCAAAATAATGCCTGCAGTGCCTACAAGCACCGCTAGTGTGAATATCCACAGAAATAGACGATCCAACACCATCGCAACATATTTCCAATCTTCTTTAACCTAGGCAACACAAGTTAAACACTATATAATTTAGTGCAGTTTATTTGCTGTTTGTTTGGTTGCCGGAACTGTGCTTGAGCAAATCCGCTGATGTTGCCCACTCTAACCTAACTTTTGCAAGCAGTGGCAAATGGTACACACTCGAATGATTTAAACACGTAGCAAGATTTTCCAACTGTGTACAAATTTCGCAACTTTCCAGTTTAAAAGTAAAGTTATGTAAAACTTTGATGTGAATAACTCACCCTTGTGGAGTCTTCTTCGCGTCGCGTATGATCAGCGATGAAGCGCACCCCATCGATGGCCTTGTGCACCTCGGGGCAATGATGCCAGGAATGCGTGGTTTCGGCGCACAGCGTGTCCTCCAGGCACCCAGCGCCCAACTCGGTACCGAGGTCGTGCCCCAGCACCGCACTTAAACAGGGTGGTGGGGTGGTGCCGTGAATGCGGCAGGCGTTTAACGCTCCTGGCTCCAGCTCTCTGAAAGTCGGGCTAAATTATAATTAAATTAGATTGGGTCAAGGTTGATTCCCTGCGTGCATGATAATGATGATGGAAATATCAATCTGTTTTAGTTTAAAATGTGGTAGGATGCTGTTTCTGCTACGCATACGTTTGAGATTATTTTGTTTTACCTGGGTGTGAGCTCGTCGCGCGAATTTGCGCTGGGGAAGAGCCCGCACGGGTCATCGGGCAGCTCCTCGGCCTCGTTATACAGATCCGGATCACGCGAATCAAGACCGTTGCACGTCCGAACCGTGACTCTTTGACACGATCCCAACATGCTGCAAAGAACACAAGCAATTTTGTTTTTATACACATGCTATAATCTACCGAATCAACCCGATGGGAAACAAAATGGCGGATAGCATGTGTACTATTATTACCAATCATAACACTAGTAGCTACGAGGTTTAGCAGACTTAACCAATGATGAGGGTAGCAAAAACAGCTTAGCGCATTTGAAAAGAAAGATGATTAACAGTGACAAACCTTCGTCTATCCAGTTGATAGTGCGGCCTCCGCATGACGAGCAACCTGGGCAGGATGTGAATGAAGACACGCCGTACCCACGGCGCCATCACGTGCGTCTGCGGCGAGCGGAAGTGGACGTTGAGCACCACCACAGTGACGCATATACTGCAACACATCCAAAATAGATACATTATTTTCAACGGAAGGTTTTTCTTGTATGTGTGCAGCACGGTAATGGCGTTTACCTAAAAGTATCGAGTATCATCGTGAACAGGACGAATTTACCCAGCAGCGGCACCACTAACGACGTCGGCGGGATAATCTCAGCCAGCAGCAGGAAGAACACGGTGAGGGACAGCAGGATGGAGATTGATAAGCTTACCTGAAATGAAAAATTACATTTTCTAGAATGAAAAAAAAAGCAGATGGCAGCGGTGGGATTCGAACCCACGCCTCCGAAGAGACTGGTGCCTTAAACCAGCGCCTTAGACCGCTCGGCCACGCTACCGAATGAAAAACTATTATATACAAAATGTCGCCAACGTACTAGATTTAAAATTAGAATTAGAAATTAGAAATATTCAGCGACACAGATTTAATTTATCCGTCGATTAGCTGCGCGTCAAATATGTAAATGCATTAAAGCGGCTTCCAAACTTTTGATGCCGACCAATTAGTCCCGACGCGACAAAGAATTCAATGGCGGGAATATCAAAAGGGCTTTCGAATGATTTGCATGTTGAATGACGAATTCGGTTGAATAGGATGCGGCGCATATCTTTTGTGGGCTAATTGGAAGCTAAAATCGTCAATTTAAAATGGCGTCCATGTGCACATACCTTTTCGCCACTGTCCGACGGTAAATAGAACACAAGTACGGTGAGAAACGAGATGCCCATGCAGGGTATGATCAGGTTCACTGTGTAGAATAGCGTCTTGCGACGCATGGTGATGTTGAATGTGATGTCCAAATAGGGTTCTTCACAGCACGTGTAAAACTTTTCATTTCTACCGAAAAAAACACAAAAAAAGATTTGAAGATTTTATTCAAATAGCAGAGAAAGGGTTTAAGGATTGAAATTTATGCTTGAATGAAGCATCATCCATTCCCGATGATAATTTCTAGTGAAAGATGAAGGAGCGCTGAAAATGTTCGCCTTAATTACCGAACGGCTGGCACTTCTAGAATGTCCCATTCAACAGACGTGTAGAACTCCGTCAAGTCGACGCCGATGTCGACGACTTTCGAGCCTTCCACTTCGTCCACATGACGCAGATCGACCTGGAAGAGCCAATCAATATTACAATTCTGTTAGAATTAAATTTTAGCATTAGGACAACCAACTTAAGACAAAACAAGTTCATTGGTGCCTGGGATTTTCCGCGCACGTTTTAGTTTTATACCTTCGAAGGACTAAATGATTGATTGCACCTGTCCCCGAGTTCCGGAAACAGATCACTCTGCCTCTATAGTCTTCCCGCACAGCGCCGCCATTTGTTGTTTAAACATGACACAACTTTAAGTGTCATTAAATATAAACTATCCGGACGCTCGCGCGTGAATAATTTATGTATCGAGACGCTTTGCCAGCTCACAAGGTTCCGATTACATGCATGTCATGTATGTTCGAGTAGATGGCGTCCTGAGCAATCATGAGTGAACTTTGAGGACGCGGCGCAAACATGAAAAGGGAAAACCAATTCGCGCGTTTTCACGAGCAAGTTTCGAGAGCGCTCCGCGTTCAATAACAACGAAGGACAATGAGGAAAAACAAAGGGTGACACTATTAATTTAAGTGAGGTTAGGTTGGTCTTCACCTCTTCAACATGATTGCTGTTTGTCGAATTGGTTTGTTTGCATTTCAGGCACGTTTGAGGCGCGTATTCAATCTCATTTCATATTCATCGATGAATGCAAACACAATAATTTATGATTATTATCACTGTGTGCGCGAATGCTTTTCTTGCAAGCACTCAACACAAATTGAATTAGGTTAAATTAAGGTTATGTAAAAAATGGTGTTTTTTTTTCATGCGTCTAACCTGAAAACCGTCATAAGTCCAAGAACCGAATTTCATCACGCAGGTTTGTTCGTCGAAGGGGAAGTACTCGACGTCGATCTCGCAGGAGGACTTGTAGATGGCGGGTGGTTTCCACTCCACGCGGCCGGTGTAGTTGAGCGTCGCTTTTGTCGCCAGCGTCACCTCAAAGTTGCCGTCGGCGCTGCAAAAAAAAAAATACATTAGCATCCACTTGATGTGACGAAATAAAAATAAACAAATGCCAACACCTGCTGCAGTCCTCGAAGGACAATACAGCGTAGGAAACCGGAAAACAAGAGAAAAAAGCAGGCTTTTAAAAAAAGTGGTTTGGTTGTGGGTTGCGATACAATCTTAACGCGAGTGCAAAACAATTAACGTTCATTAGCACTTTCCCTTTGGGGCGTTTCTAAGTAATTTACATTTCGTGTTAGGCATTGTGTGAAGACATCTTCATTTGCTTTATTCTTATTAATACTTTATTTGTGCGCTTTATAAATAAATATTTTTTTAATGATTTTTTTAAAAAGAAAAAATTAAAAACAAAATGGCGGCAATTCGTAAAAAAGTTTAATAGTCACAAGAAATTGAATTATGTGTTTCTAACCTAATTTATAAGAGCGTATGTAATGTGATTCTGACTATGACATTCGGAATGTTTCGAACACTTTGAATGCACTCGGATGCAGCCTGCGGGGCAAGTGCAACGTCATAAATCATCCTGGGGCTAGAAACGCTCACCGGTTACGTAAACGTAAACAACGTCGAGAAATATATCACCTCATGAATTTATAAAACATCATATTTTTCAGACACTGTTGCAAGTTGTGAGTAAAAATTTGTGTCACGATAACACCATTGTGATTTTATTAGACTTAGGCAACCCAATTTACATGATATACCTACTATAGGCAATACATTATATTTTTACTGCGTTTGCCATTTAGAAAATCTAACCCTGTGCATTTATTCCCACGTAACAAAACACTAGTATTGAGTTTTGAGATTGTTTTCTGAAAACCGACACTCCGCGATAAATTTCCTCGCATGGCATCCAATCCCTGGAATCTAATGCGTTATTGTGCGATTGTTTGATTGTTTTTGGAAGCAACGTCCAGTCCAGTCTCCGCAAAACGTTTATTTCCTCTTACATTTTTTTCTCTCGTTTACAGAAGAAGAAAAACAAAACCAAACAAGAAATTTTAGTTTTTTTGTTATCTATTTGTTTTCTGAAGGATGATGGTGTTTCTTTATACACACATCTTTTCATATCGGAGGCAATCAATCACGATGACGTGGATGCTTCGAAACCAAACTCTTTTCTTCTAGTTCCTTCTAACTCTATAACAATTTCTTGTTGGAAAAATGTGAAAAATTGTTTCTGATCACAAAGATATTCGATTTTAAGCCGGGCAAGATACACTCGGTTAACCTCTTCATGCGCATAGTATTGAATAGTTAATGATAGTTGGGTTGCATAATAATTCCAAACTGTCATTGTATTTGCAGTAACTTTTTTGAAAAGTTGTCCACTTACTTGTTATAGAGAACGATGTCGGGACGCCAAATGTGATCCGACGGGACATGAAGCATCTCGACGCCGCCATATTCCTTTGGGTCCCACTTGAGCTTGTAGTCGTACCAACTCTGCAAACCGTCCGGTTATTACAAGCATCCGCCAAACTTTTTTTGCTAATTAATTAACGCTGAAATAACGTCACGCGACATTACTCCCATTGTTATCCAGCCAAACGTATTTAAACTTAACGGAACGTAAAAAAAATAAATTAACATCTGTACCCGCGTATATTACTGCCCCGCTTTTGTTAGAAATGCAGCATCGGAAAAGTGTGCGCGGACGTGTAAAACTGTACCATGCGAAATTATTATTCATCTGGCATGCAAATTTGTGTTTCGGTTGCCGACGGGATAACGAGCTGGTTTTGTTGTCGGACAAGTTGCAGTTTCCCGGTATCGTTTTTCAACGCGTTACGTAAACATGGCGTCGGCAACTGAAATTCAATTCTAGCGTGGCATCAAAAATGGAAACTATTCACGTCTTTTTAATTAAAAAAAAAAGAATAAACGTACCTGTTCTACCCATAAATTCGTTGTCATGATTTGATTTTTGAGATTCTGAAACAAACAAATCATATATTAATTTAAATAAATTTAAGCACACTGTATATTTACGAATATGGTTTAAACATATTTTTTATCAATATTTGGTTCACGGTCCAACGCCTCTGATTGCGTGTTGGAGTTGAGTTAACAGATGTAAATTGGTGGATTCATTGACCCCCGGAGAGTAGTCCACACACATTACACATACACATATTCAGAAAGTTTGGTATTCGCTGCGTGCAATGTCCACTCTGTTGACTGGGATTACTAAATTTTAAATTGGGATCTGTTTGTTGTACATACTCAGGTATTGCGTTGCTTCTGAGGGTTGCGCCCTAAATCAACATTCTGAATATTTTCATGCCTCACAACATCTAACAATACACAAATTTCTATTTTCTAGCTGTGGTCAGCCGAAATGGTTTATTCCTGTATTGTTTGTGGTCGTAAATTAATAATTGAAAACTTGTTGCGCAAAATAATAATATTATTATTTATTTTTAGTGCTTTCCTTAGTTTTGCAACAATGTTTTGGTAGTTAAATAGTATAGAAACGAGAAAATTTCGTTTTAGTTAAATGCGTATTTTACAGTAAAAGAAACGTTCTGCAGCGCAATATCGATACTTCCGGCGCCTCCACCAAAGTGATATTTAATTAAATTCTCCAACATTATCAACGTGGCAATATCCGGTTTGAAAATAAAATATATTGTATTCTAGGTTTTGCTGGCGATTTTGTCGCGGAGATTTTAATAAAAAAAATAGCGTAACTAATTACTTTTCTTGATCTGAAACTGTCAATAAGATCCTCATTTAAAATTGCAGCAATAACAAATGTTTGTAATGCGCAATAACGTAATCTCAATTCTCTTTATTTACTTTAGTGACTTTGTTGCCGTAGTTTTTAGTAAAAATGTAATTAATTTAATTTTCAAAAAATAAGAAATGCTAATAGTATTGTTTTTCAGTTTTACATTTAAAGCGCAAGTTTTGAAACACAAAAGTTGGTATTTTAAACACGGGCGGTCAAAGTGGTGACTATAGTACTTTAGTCACGGGGTGGAGTTTGCGCCTGTGCGTTTGCTAAGATTAAATTTCTACTCTAATCAGTAAATTTCTATAGAAGTTTTAAGCGGTAATTTAACACCTTTTACTCATTCATGAATAATAAATGCTTTAATTAACCAAACTTTGTTTTATTAATATATTTACTGAGAAAAGTCTTATTTTACACCGTTCAAATTATAATTTCTTTATTATTGTGATTGTTTTTCTTAATTTCAAAACCACAATTAGCCAAATTGTTTCAGTTTCTCTCGAATTTTAACAAGACGAAAATTTGTTTATATATTCAATTAATAATTTAACTTTTCAATTATAAATTGTTACTTTTAAAAAATTTTTTATATTTTTCTAGTAAAAAAAAACAGCATTCCAAATTGAATTACTCCCACAATGTTGAAGATCAAGAGAACCTAGTAGACCGTGTTTTTTTTTCGAAAAACATTTCTAGTGGAAAATTGCTATCCTGGGACGATGGAACAGTGGAACAATCATACGACACGACAAGCTTCCGCAAGAAGCCTGCGACATGTCATCATTGCCACCATCGCCATCGCCATTGACTCAGATAGTTTATTATCTATCAGAATTTCCCAACAGAGTTTGCCGATAAAACGAGATTAAGAACACGAATAGAACTTTCACACGCAGAAATAACTAGTAATGCCACTAGGTAAGTACTCACCGATAACATTTTATCTTTATAATTAGTTGAATAATCATTTTAAAATTAGGTTACGTACTTTCGACTTAATTTTCAAATTAAAGACTTGAGCGTGTTTGTGAATTGGTAATATACGTATTTACAGCTGCAGGAAATATTCCAGTTGACAAATAATTGTATCACGTTTTGAAATCTTTACTTCCGCCTTCCGCCTTCTTTCAGAAGGGTGAGTGCTCGCCTGCGGCAAGATGAACAGAACGCGTATACCCGCAGTACACGGCTTCTTATGTCGCAGCGCTTTTGAGTCGGAAGGGTCGCAATACAGCAGCGACATCTGCTATACTTCATCAAAGATTCATCTGTTGACTGCGCCTTCATAAAGTCGAATTATTTACGAGCGGTACACTTTCATATTTTGGACATCGTATATTTTTTCCTGCTAGCAGCTATTTCGGAAGTCAATCTCTTGATGTAACGAAATGAATTCGTCACATAAATTTCGTGCTGTTTGCATGCGACTTTCTAAACTCGATAAATTATGTTTACGAGCGCTGGAGTAGATGGAACTTCTTTTTTTAATCCTGGGGAGGACATAAGCGCTTACAGGAAACTGTTAAAATACTAATTATGAAGAGTGGATAAAATTTTATTAATATTTGATTTTGAAATTTTTAAATATTTGAAAAATGTTATTCGTTTTTACTCCCTTGTTCTAGACAAGAAATTAATTATATAAAGAATTGCTAATAATTTTCTTCAGCGCGCCATCTCTGATTCACCTATTTAACTATAACTATGATTGCATCTCAATGCCAACTTTTATCCTATAGAAAAGAACTGTTTTTAGGGTTTTCCCGGCAATTATTCGAATTTTTCTTGCCGTAAAAATCATCCTTGGACTTTAACAAACATTTAAAAAAAAAGAATTGGCCAAATTGGTCTTGGTGTTGTTGAGTTATGCGCTTACCAACAGATTTTGCCATTTTTTTAGAGTATAGAAGATGTATATAAAGGTTAAAGTGGATTCAAAAAGAAATTTTAAAAATATTACGCGCATTTGTTCAAAAATCGTAATTTTTAAATATTTTTAATTAATTTAATATTTAACACAACAATACTAAAATGTAAAAGTAAAATTTAAAATTTATGTAAAATGTAAATTTTACCTTTAAAAAGGTTAAAACTTGTGTTTAAAATCTTAAAAATTTGGTTGTAAATTCACTTTTAGCACATTCACTTACGACGCAACGCAAAAGTACCAAAAGTACTGGTCGTAAACCGGAAGTTACAATACGTCCCTCTTGACTTCCGCATCGTTCGCATCTTTCGGACGTTAAAACGAATAGAAACTGTAATTCCCTCGAGATAAACCGTCTTAAAAAGACGCAAAAAAAACTTTCTACATATTTTGATAGTGCATAAATTCCGAAAATATTCGTGGATTCATCATAAAAACGCAACTCTATGAAAAACATTATTAACTTTTCTAATTAACCGAAACTTGTTTGCTTGTTGATTTAGATGATATAATCTTTATTGCAAGAGTGGGAGAGTGAGCATAAAACTTTATGCAAGTTCACGTTTTTCAGTCATATTGTTTTTACGATGGGCTCAAACACATTCAGTGTGGCAATGTTGCTGCTGGTGAACGCTGGGTGGACTAACTGGTGACTTTAATCTATTTTCACGACTACTCACGAGTGGCGCTATTAGTCAACGTCGAGTGATGCGGACATGTAGAAACGCAAAGATGAAGAGTTTAGATTCGGATGGGGTTTGTTGGGGCGAGGCGAGCAGCTCTGACCCAAATTGAAACAAACATACTGTGATATTGTCCTAGTTGAACTGCTTTTAGTTTCGGATTAAACAAGCCTCAACAAACAGAATAAATGAAAATGTGATTTAATTTTACGAAATTAAATGTAAAATTGTTAAAAGTTTAATGCATACATATTATTTTTAGTAAAATTTTAACGAATAAAGTTAAAATTGACAATTATTTAATTAACTAAGCTTAAAAGTTGCATAATTATAACTTTAACAGATAAAGACAAATAAAAATTATATAAATCTATTTTGATATCACAATCGTTTGTAATACGTAACATTAATTAGGATTAAATCATCATATCAACTTTTAACCCTTATTTTACCCCTTCAAGTTATAATTTGGCTATAAAAAGTACCCTATTTGCTCTTCCATGGTCAAAAATATGTGTATACCTAAATTTATCAAAGTTGCTTCACAGGATTTTGCATGAAAGCTTAACAAACAAACAAATACATTGCACTTATGAGTTTTGTTGAGATTAATATTTAACTTCTCGTAGTAATAGAATAAAATATATTTGCTAGATAGTAAAATGTTTTTTCGTGACTGATTTTTGTTCAAATAATAACTTAAAGTAAAATACAAAGGTCTAAAGTACTGCGCAGCTATTTTATCAACTAAGTCTAATCGAATTTGTAAACTTCCGAGTACATTTCCGACCGTTGACGCAAGAGGAAGAGAGTACAAACATAAAACAAGCAGTTATTGCTTTATTCCACAAACAATGCATCGAAATCTCTGCGCTCGCTAACTTTGTGAGGTTATACGTTATACGTTCAGGTTGAGTTGTTTTTCCTTTTTACGCGAGAAAAACTTACTTCACCGACTGCTCATATATTTTCATCCGAAATGCGGTCGGAAGATTTAAAACTTTTGCCCAAACTTATTACGGCTTTTCGTCAGCGCTGCACATTCAAAATGGCGCAGGCGGTTAGGGGTTATGTGGTTAACTTACCATAATTCCCTAAACGAAAAATCGTGCAGTCTGAATATATTTTAAATGCAAATCATGCTCAGCATATGTTGGAATCATAACTTACATCACCAAGGATCAGTGCATTAATCCCACAGCACTGGTGTGTCTTATCAGCGTATTTAATCAAGTTGCCGATATAGTAATTAGTGGTTCAGGATGTTCTGATGTTCTGGCAGGATGTAGGATATTAGATTGTTTTATGCGTAGGGGATGAAGATTGCTTGCTGCGTCCCAAGACGTCTTAATTACTATTAATACACTTGAAGGAAGATTTGAGAGAAAATAGAAGGTGGAAGATAAAATCAGATTAAGGCTGGATTTTAAGGGTGTGTTTGTTGGTTTTCTATATAATAGAATTATTTTATTGCTAAGAAATCAATCTCGGCAAATCTATATCTATCTAGATATATCTATATTTATCTATATTCACATAAAAAGCAATAAAAAACGAAAATTGATATTTGTTAGTTAGAAAAATAAGTGAAATTCGAGATTGGTTGGACAGATTTGGTTAATTTTGGTTTTGAAATCCAAGAAAAACTCAGAAAGTGAGAAATTTTGGAAAAATAAATGCAAAAAAAATTCCATACAAGCCCTACTTGCTCAACAAGGTACATTCAAACTACATTCGGCGAATGTTTCTTAGAGTTTCTTTTTTATTAGCCAAGAACCGTGGAATCAATTTTGATGATCTATGATTTGCTGGATTTGTCTCCGTTATTAATAATTGAATAAATCTTAATTTATTAAAAATTATGACTTAAAGAGTGTTAAATAAGCGATGGAAATTGGCATTTTGCTAAAAACTACACGGACAAAGTCGTGGGTATGAGCTAGTCTATAATATAAAAATGAATCGCAAAATCTGTTGCTAAGCGCTAAGTTGCTAATCTGTTGTAATTGTCGGAAAACCCTAAAGACATCCCTTTTCTATAGGATAAAAGTATGCATTGAAATTCAATCAGAGTTATAGTTAAATAGTTGATTCCGAGATGGCGCGCTACAGTGCATTTTTAGCAATTCTTAATATAATTAATTTCTTTAAAATAAAATTGCGAATCTTATTGTTACAATTGACGTATACTATGTCCAGAACAAGAGAGTAAAAACGAATTACATTTTAATTAAACACTATCGGGACGAAGTCACGGGCAAAAGCAAGTTAAAAATAAAATTAAGAATTATATTGGTAGATTTGACACATAGATCTTAGACGATGATATGATATAGAAGATGATATATATTATTAATAAAAATGTAATTCATTTTTACTCTCTTGTTCTAGACATACTCGTTGTAAGAGTCAATTCTATCAATAACATTAGCAATTTTAATTTAAAGAAATTAATTATATAAAGTTTTGTCAATAATGCACTTCAGCGCGCCATCTCGAATTCAACTATTTAACTATAACTATGATTGAATCTCAATGTCAAATTTTATTCTATAGAAAAGAGCGAGTTTTGAGGATTTTCCCGGCAATTATTCGAATTTTTCTCGCCTTTTAAACCTTCCCTAGACCTCCACGAATAATTCAAGACCAAGATAAGATAAATCCATTCAGCCGTTCTCGAGTTTTAGCGGGACTAACAAACAGCAATTCATTTATATATATATATATATATATATATATATAGATATAGTTATACTATTATTTATTAAAATATACTTGGACGTAGCCGTGGGTACAAGCTAGTTAATTAATAATTTAAGATTAACTTTTCTATGTTTCTGATTTTTTGCACCCCTCAAGAAAATATGTCATAAATATGTCATATGTAGGGTTTTATTCGCTTGTTTTTCCTTCAGTGGCATTGACATCCTTGTCGATTACAATAATAAAATATATCGACGAAATATATTTTATGACGTTCAGATGTTTTCGCTTTCCGGGGCATTTTCTTCATCCCCCCATCCCTTCGGCCATCTTTCTTTCCGAACTTCGGTGGCGGGTGTCTACGCTTCGGTTTCGCATCTTTTGGCGGTGGTGTTGCGCCGTAAGTTTGCCGCCGTGTCGCGCATATATTTCCGGTGTGCGCGTATCCTTGACACTTTTGGTAATATGCCAAAAAGCGACGAAAATATCGTCCAGCCACATGATACAGGGTAATCAAAACAATACGCAACTAACATTTAACCATAAAGTATAAATATTGTATTGATTTTGCTGTATTAATATATTTGCTTTAATTTATTTAGTGAAAATCTCTGCTTTTACCGATTTTACAACGCGTGTGATGCACAAAAAATCCCAAACGTTTGTTTGAAGTATTTTTCACGCGTGTGCCAGTTGCACCATGGGTAATATACAGTGTGTTTAGGTGTAATTTTAAAAATCATGTATGTTTTCCTACAAGTTTTTTTTTATTTGAGCGAAAGTTTTGCACCGCCTGTGAATGCGTTTGCAGTAAAATTTCAACAACGGCGTAATCATAAATACACAAAGCGTGGAACACGGAAAAGCGGGAAAAAGCGGGCGCAGCACAGCGCAGGTGGTAAAAATTTTCATGCGGACGTGCTTGTCGTGTCGTCCAAGTTTCCATCTCGTACGTCGCGTTTTTTTAGGGCGTGCTTTTGGCAGAAAAACCTTGCAAAATCCTTGAAATTATTATAATAAAGAGCAGGACTTTCGGTAAACAAATTAATCACTCAACTAGGTATTATATTGTCTTATATACAGGATATTGAACAAATTTATTCAATCTCCAAACCGTAAATTATGCGTTCGTTTTTCTTTCAATCTTTTACTATTCTATTTCATATGAAAACTTAGATGATCGCAATCCGAGCGCGCGCATAAAGTTGGAGCGTCGAATGCAGTTTCCGAAACGCGCAAGTATTTTTCATACGGAAGACGCGTGAAACGCGAGAGTTTATCTAAGCAAATCCATATAATGGTACAGCAGACGACGCCGCCGAGGGAAGACTTACACGTTTTACTCGCTTTCCGCGCTTCGACGCTTCGCATACGGATATTAATTTGAGAGAAATCCTTGCCAACATAGAAAATATGTGATATATGTAAATATCACAAACACAACACACGAAAATTCAACGATTTTTTGTGATTCGCATTTTATATTCTCAATTCTTAAGATTTAAATGTGTGATGTTGGTTGCCTACAGCAACATCATAACTCAACCAACATATTTTATCTTTCCATTGTCTTAATACAACAAAGGAAAAACTTCTCGTATTTGTTCAGGTTTTTGTTTTTCTTTCTGTTTGTGATTGCTGGCGTCGCAATAATTAAATTGAAACTTTGTTCGCGCACATTGCCGACATCTTTGTAATGCGATATCAATTACAAAACATTCAAAGAACAAACGGCAACGTGACTCAACTGATGATAAAACGATAATGTCCACGAAAATAAACGATTAGAGATAAATGCGAAACGATGAAAATATTGCCGAATGAAAATTAAGATGAGCGGCGACAGTTAATTATCGCGACTTAATGAAGTTACATTTAATTTCTGATTCAATTATAAATTTTCCTCGACGTCCTTCGACACACTGAGCGTTTGCTGAAAAAGCTTATCAACGTCAATATTTCGTATTCAGATTAATAGCGGCATGAAATTTTTAACTCGCTATAAAAATCTGAAAAAATTGCATCTTAAATACTTTGCGCCGCGTCGGCGGAAAACTTTGCGCAGAGAGAAGCGTTGAAGTTCTGTTTGAGGTTGGAGATGTTGGGGTTGAAGCGAAAGTTGGCAGCGTTTGAAGATGGCGGCAAATTTATGCCTCCCAAACGTCTCCTCGGCGGCACATCGGAGGTGTCGGAGTTTAAACGACCGCCACCCCATCGTGTTGGAAGGGGGCACGCATCGGTGCGGTTAACTAATTGGGTGAAAAAGGTCTCGACTAATTCTACACGCACGCGGCATTAATTATTACAATGTAGGCAACCCAAAATACAGTATGCTGCAGGTTATATACACAACATACTGTATTGTAGCTAATATCTTTTTAGTAGAGAGTAGTTTATTTTGTTTTCTAATAGTCACACCTTTTCTTCATTCGTTGTGGTCAGAAGTTAGCCGGGAACTTCTTACGAGGTCATTTTGTACTATTTGGACTTTTGTACTTTTGCACTTTCATTAGTATCCCAACCGAGACCACTTTCCACCCGTAGTTTATGTTGGAACTGAACCACAATAAAACCTTTTCATTTAGTTCCAGCTGGTTTTTTACACCTTTTTCGCCCTCATACAGGGGCGGATTTAAAGGTACGCCTTCAATAAAATCGAGATACTTACGACATCGATGAGCTGGGAGAGCTTGAGCTTAATCTTAACGGTGAGCGCATCGGATACATTGACCACAGGCCGCACCAGCTTGTTGTAATTCGAGAGCAGGTCATCGTAGAGGCGTTTGGCATCCGGATTACCCGAGCATCCTGCAAACAACACAAAACAAAATCTCATAAGCACTCTGGAGATAATTGTAATTCGGATTGTTGTTATTTTAAGTGTTGTTGTAATTATTTTAATTGTGTGTACTGAAAACCGGAAACCGGAAGTTCTAACATCTGCGTGTTGTGCAAATCTGTTGAAGGGTGTTTAGTAGGGTTGAAATATAACGAAATGCAAACACCGTTTTACTATCTCATCTGGCAAACTATATTTATACAGTGTGTTCTGATCCTGATTACGTGTTTGATAACATTGAACAAAATATTTTTAATTTGTTCAATATACTTGTTTTCGTAATGTGGGTAATTATTTTTGTGTGTTTTGTTTGTTTTCGTTTTGGTGCATTTCGTTAATTAAAATTATGTTTTGCATCGCTTGAAAATATTATAATCATCATTGCGCATAATATTATGATACAACTTTAATTGAGAACAATTTAATTATCAAAATATAAATAATTAAACATTAAAATAGTGTGTTGGTCATAACTCAAATGAAATTGTTAAATAGGATCCAGTTATAGACATTTTGAGTTGATAAACATCATAACCTCAATTTATATTTGTTTATAAAACATATTTATTTATTTATTGTGTTTTTAAATTTGGTTTTCACAATATAGCATTAAAATAATATTTTAGTAAACCTTTTTGCTGCTTAGTGCCAATCCACTTAAGTCAAGTTATACTCTGGTTTGAATTAAATGGGAAGTTACATCTTGAATAATATAGATTGTAATCGAAAGTGACTAATATCAAAGGTTTGTTTGTCAACGTAATCTAATTTCATCCTTACTTAGATTGATCTGTTCCGTATGGTAAACTGAAACTAGCTTTGACATTAAACTAACCTCGAAATACACTTATAACATCTAACCCATCCTTCTATGTAACCAAACATGTCAAAATTACAACAGTCTTATTTCATTCTAGCTGTTGCTGTAATTCGTTTATACTCTCTTGTTCAAGAGATAGTACCTATGTGTCAATTCTATTAATAAGATTCGCAATTTTATTTTAAAGAAATTAATTATATAAAGTTTTGTCAATAATGCACTTCAGCGCGCCATCTCGGATTCAATTATTTACCTATAACTACGATTGAATCTCAATTCCATCTTTTATTCTCTAGAAAAGGGCTGTCTTTAGAGTCTTCCCGGCAATTATTCGAATTTCTCGCCGTAAAGACCATCCTTGTACTTTAACGAATGTTTAAAAAAAAAGAAATGGTCAAATTGGTCCAGACGTTGTGGAGTTATGCGCTTACCAACAGATTTTGCACTAATCTATATTTTTTTGCCAGGAATGTGTCCATTCAATCAATAAGATTTGCAATTTTATTTTAAATAAATAAAAAATGTTAACAACATTTTAGCTTCATGTCGGATTTAATTATTTAGGTACAACTATGATTGAATTTCTATACAAATTTTCATCCTTTAATTAATACATTTATAGGTATATTTTTTCAGTTTTTAATAGTTATTCCACTATTTTGTACGAAGACGAATTCAACAAATCATAGATTAGGAAAATCTGTCCAGTCGTTCTGAAGTTATAAATGCTGTAACTAACGCAATTTTATTTAGTACTAGCTGTTGCCCGCGACTTCGTTCCGGCAGTGTTTAATAAAAATGTAATTCGTTTTTACTCTCTTGTTCTAGACATACTCGTAGTAAGAGTCAATTCTATCAATAAGATTAGCAATTTTAATTTAAAGAAATTAATTATATAAAGTTTTGTCAATAATGCACTTCAGCGCGCCATCTCGAATTCAACTATTTAACTATAACTATGATTGAATCTCAATGTCAAATTTTATTCTATAGAAAAGAGCTGTTTTGAGGATTTTCCCGGCAATTATTCGAATTTTTCTCACCTTTGAAACCTTCCTTAGACCTCCACGAATAATTCAAGACCAAGATAAGATAAATCCGTTCAGCCGTTCTCGAGTTTTAGCGAGACTAACGAACAGCAATTGATTTATATATATATATATATAGATATATAGATTTGTCTTTTCCTTTTCCTTTTATAATTTAGATCTATCAAACAATTTAATATCAAATTATGATTTCATTTCCACATACCATAGTCAATCGACATCCAAATTCCATCCACAGTAATATCATTATGCGAGCTGGAAGTCCTATAAATTGTTTGCCATAACTCTAATAATCTGCGAGGCTAGAGTTTTAATATTGCCCTATACACATACCTAGAATAATGGCAGATGCACATTGCACATATGCGCATACTATTAGTTAAGGATCACTTGGTTCACTCAGTGTGCATGTGAGCGAGTGCACATTTGAGGTGGTGCTGGTGGAGACCAGCACCGCACTTCAGGAAACATGCCGAGTGGTGTGATATTCATCCGCTTCCGCTTGAACTGCATTCGAACATTCCGCACGAGGCCACAATGATTTTATTAGAGGTCGCGTTGCAACCGTGATGATCCTGATCCTGCTCTCTAAGAGGTCGCAGCTAACCTACATTCTTGGCCTTTCAACCTCATCATCATCAAATTTAACTTGTGCTTGTTTTATTAGTTAGGTATGCATAGTATTTGGGTTGCCTACTTAGCATCAGAAATTTCATTCGAGTGCTGAACATTATCAATATAATTTCTGGTGGGCAATATGCTTGAGAAAATATTTATACAACTGAAAACAGGTTATATTAAAATGTACTCTGTTTGATGTTTTGGATGCACGGTGAAATCGTGCGATCAGCTGGAATATTCTGGCAAAAATCCTTGTATACAATTTTTTTAAATATCAGGAATCTTATATTGCATAAAATGTTACGCGTATTTTTATTGCTTTCAAGTAATTATAGTGATACTTTCAGTAAGTATGTAGTCGTTCGTAAAAAGCACATTTTCCATAGGGACGAGCGTGTGAACTGTGAACATTGCGCATCTGGCTGCAATTGAGCCACAGACGTAGCTACTGACAGGCTCGAACATGGAAAAAGTAAGTGACAAATCGCATATTTCTTGCGGCGTATCAAATAACCGTCAGATGCACTTAGTAAGTTCTCACAGCAGCCACCAGATAAGACACTTTCAACTCGTCTGACACATAACAGAATAACATGCTTGTATTATACCAAAATCACCGGAACATGAAAGGTACAAGTGTTAAGAAGTTGCATGAAAGGAGCATTAAAAAGTTTCCAAAAACTTTTTTACACGTAAAAAATGTATTTACATATTTCTAAATTTAATTCTATATAAAAAATATTTTTTTGGTATTTTTTATTGATTTTACGTTAGAAATTAATCTAGCAAAGATGAAAAACAAAAAGCAACATCCTCGCATCAGAAGTAATTTGGGTGGTTAACTGCACGTGGTATATATCTGTGGCATCGTGGCATCAACATCATCGCAGATTGTTAATGATCGCGGCAAAGTTGCGGCCGACTGTTAATAGATCACCATTTCGGGTGTTGTGGTAAATGCGCACTCACCCCTCGCACGCATTTTAGCAGCCGCACACAATTTGTATGATGGCCGCGAGCAACAAAGGGTGCGGGTCATTAAAGCGCGCCTAATGTGTGTTTGCAGGTTCACGCAGCGTTTCACATACCAATTTGGGCAATTTTTGTGAAATCCGATTAACACCGGCGTTAAAAATCGAATTTTAAAGGTGGCAGCGCTGGAAAACCGAATGTGAAATTATTTTGTTGATTTCTGCACCGGTAGATGGCGCCATTAACAGTCAAGTAACAAATTATTGTTTAATTGGATATTATATCAATCCTCCAAAATGTCAAGACTAATACTAATGCTAATTCATTATTGATGATCTCCGAATGTGTCCATAGAGTGATATCGAATCCTCATCAAATAGTCGCATGCGATATTAATTCGTAGATCAATCAATTTGCATAACTTTGCAATAGGTATCACCTCATCACCAATCACAGACATATTATGAATTAATTTCAGTATAAACAAGTTTAATTAACTGTGTAGGCACCTGGTATTTAGTCATTCAGTCATTTTGTCAGTGTATCATCAATAAACTGGTTAAGCAGACGGGATTAGGCGCGGATTTGCACACATTGACAGCCTGCGCAAAAAATACGTTTAAGTATCATTAATTTGGATAATTTTTTCACGCCACTATCGACGCGGCAATTTGCCAGGGGCGATCGATGGCGTTTTATATGCGAGGAAATTTTTGCGTTGCCTGCCGCCGCCATTCATCAATGCGCATGCAAATATTTTTCGGCGGCGCTAAGGCTGATAACGATCATAAATCCACGTTGACATTTTGCCGGTGATAAATGTTTTTTTTTCTTGTAAAATTAAATTATTAAATTTATGCAGAGAAACTGATTAACTTATGTTAGGTTATCTTAATGTTGATATAACCTCACTTGTAATCTACAGTGTAGGGTAGACTGGGTACGGTAGTACCAGGGGGGCGGTAGTACCAAAGCAAATATCTCGTGAACAGTTGAGCACAGCCCTATGCGTTCAAGGAGTGATAGTAGCCGCATACAAGTTGAAGTATGTAAGTTGTAAGTTGAGTCACACAAAGCCAGTTACACGCGTGTAGGACGTGTTTTTGATTTTTTGAGATCAAAAGTAAATATTTGATGATGAATTGTTTTTAGTTTTTAAATCTTGTCTTGCGTGTTATATTATACGTGTGTGTTTATTGAAAATAAATGGTTTTTGAAGAATAAAGGTATGTTAATCAAATTCTTGTATCTCTATTATTTTTTTTATTATTAAATATAATTTGGAAAATGTCCACATGGGGACGGTTGTACCAAATAATATGGGGACAGTTGTACCGGTATAAACGACCCCATGCCTAGTATTATTTTAAAGTAAAATTTCTTTTTCTTTCTAAACGTAAAACGTTTGCTTTATATTAGATGCCACGAGTACGTATTCGCAAAACAGGAAAAGGCCAACATGATGATAGCGCTTATATCAATGCCTATGAGTGTATATTGAGTGTAAGAACTGGGCTCATGAGCAATGCACTGACGGAGAACCCAGCTACGTATGCAATAATTGTGATTCCAACTAATTTTATTGTTGCACACATAGCAGGACATTTAAGTATAATTTTAAAAGTGTTTTCTTTATTGTAATAAATACGTTTATTGTAATAAATAAGTTTTATTTCTGTATGGTACAATCGACCCCACCCCCTGGTACAACCGTCCTGAGGTCTGAGGTCGGTTGTACCATTTCTCGCCCACAACAAAATTTAGATTTATGAAGGTACTTGTAACCTTGAGGGATTAAAAATATGGGCAAAACGTAGCCAGATGATTAGGCATTAAACTATGACAAGTACCATTGGGCTAAGTAAAATCCTATTAAGCCTACAGGCAAAAATCTAAAAAATGGTACAACCGTACCCAGTCTACCCTACGTATAATGTAATTTGCAACAATGCATTTAGACATTATAATCGTATCAACTTGTCTTGAATCTGCTGTTTTGGTTTGTGCACGACTGCTACGGAGTTGCATCTAACATCGGCTTTTGGTTTCCGGCTTCCGGGTTTTGATTGAGTTTGAAGTTATGCATCGCGGCCCATGCATAAATCCACAGAGTATTTATTTATGAAAAAAAATTCTATAGTGATATTATAAACGTAAATATGAAATTGTTTATTTATATGATATTTTCAACCAAGTTAAAAACTTTATTGGTAAAATACAAATTGCATCAGGTCAAATAAAGAATGAAAATATGTAATATGATGCTTCAATCATAGTTACAGTTATTCAATTCAAACCTAGATGACGCTACTTCTAGTTTTTTTTTTAAATTAAAACCGAGAATTTTATTGACGAATTCGGCAAATTTTAGTCCAAAAAACAAAGTATTTAGTAATTAATATTAATTTTGATTAATCTGTGTTATAGTTCTTGTCCAGGTATTTAGATGGCGTTAATAGTAATTTGGTAATTATACAACAAAATTGAAGATTTAGATAATTTAGGGGAGACTGGGTACGGTTGTGCCAGGGTACGGTAGTGACAGTCGTCATAATAACAAAACTATACGTCATACGGGGGAGGGTGCAAGAGGATAAAGAAGCGGCTTGCAAGTTTGAACGCTTTCTCTGGTATTGGTCAGTTATTGCGCGACGTTAACATAACTAGGAGCCCACATTGCTTTTTGACAGTCAAAAGTAAATATTTTTGTACGGTTTCTTTTAATAATTATTGTTGTTTGTATACAGATAGATTACCTCTTTTTGTTGCTTGTTTTAAATTGAACATTTGTAGTTATTTATAAGCATTTACTTTTTACGTAGATTATTTGACAAAGCCATGGCGAATTTTTGTTTTCGAAAAAGAGGTTCGGGTACGGTTGTGACAAATTTTGTGGGTACGGTTGTGACATTACTATCGTCGTTATTTTTTGCTTCTAAATGCTTTTTTGCAGTCAATGCCTTAGGTAACGCAATTCCTCCTTTTTTTGTATTCCCGTGAGTACGTTATCATGATCATTTTGTTAGAGATGGACCGGTGTGATCAATTGGAACTGTAAATCCTTCAGGTTGGATGCAAGATGCCTCATTCTTAACATTTCTCGAACATTTTAAGAAATTCTTCTGTAACACATCAAGTTTTTCTATTGCTGGATAATCATTCCTCTCACATTCATATTAATGCACTAGATTTTTGCCAAGAGAATGGCCATTTTAGTGTATGTTTTTGCATGTCACAACCGCACCCAACCACTGTCACAACCGTCCTTGGTGTGTGGCCGGTTGTGACAATTTGACTTTTTTTTTGAAATTTATCTTATTAGTTATACGTCGTATTTAGGGCCAACATTTTAGCATTCTTGTATAGATAAATGTACAAATTACCATAAAAGTTACTTTTCTTCGATCTAACTGGTAAATTAACAAAACTATTGGTAATCAAACACAAATTGTCACAACCGTACCCAGTCTCCCCTACTGTTAATAAATTAATTTAAAAAATAGTATAATTAATAATGTAGCTATATTGAACATTCTCAACTGTAAAACAACATCGTTGACAATGATTACAAAAAAATCACTCCATCTACTTTGTCTCTGCTGAAATTTGTCGTTTTGTAATTTCCCAGATTCGATTTCAAACTTCCGCTCTCAACGAGCTTTTTCCTTGACGTATTTTTTTTTGTTTCATTTTTTGCTCGCCTGTGTTAATCAACCGTTTAATTTGATACTCGCGCAGCAGGACGATTTATTCGGACGCCGGTAACGACACTTGAATTTCAACAGCACGGCTGGTTCCAGCTGGTTACGACTGTCGAACGTTACAGCCAGAACAAGCATGCTATTGCATTCAATAGGCGGAAAACGCTGCGCCCGATGAGATGAGCCTGCGGAGCGCAAGAGGAGGGGTTCGTTTTAAACCGGATGGCGAGTAATTAAAATCGTGGGCGGGCAATGCGCGGAATATAAATGTATTGCTTGTTTGATCGAACTCGATTGGCAAACGCTTTCAGATTTCTGATTTTCTTTGCGCAATCGATGGCTAACCATTCGAGCGGAAAACGTGTGCAGGCGGAAAATTTATTACTACACTTTCTTAAAACTTGTGCAAGAATTTTTAAAGTTAACGACTTATAGAAGAAACATATTGCTGGGCCATGATGTAGTTAAGTGGTAAGAACTTTTAGGAGTTCAACCTTTAGTATCGACGTATTGGTTTGCACCTACGCGACCAAGTTTCCGGCGACATGATGATAAGACCTTGGTGCGCTGCACTAATGAAGACGGGAAGACAGCGCGCACTAAAACCACCCTTAAAATGCTCCTGGAGGGTTGGTATACCAAGATGTCGGCCATCTCGGAAGTACCCTGCTGATACGACGAGATTATTACACATCCTGCATTAACCGTCGGCCATTACCTGCCGGAAAAGTTTCCTTAGCGTATAATCACATACAGAGTGTTCTAGGGTATATCCAATAACAAAATATTCAATTTCTTTGATCGGCGAGTAGAAATGTTTTATTTATTTGGAAGCGAAGGATAAACGGATGAGCGGGTTTGCCAAAGGTGCAAGGCCGGAAATTTAAGATACCGCCGTTTCAATCTTTCGACTTATCAAATTTCCCAGCCGGATCCGATATTGGTTGAGAGTGCGACCGGCTGAAAGAAAATGGAATAAACTAAAAGGCATTGAGTGAAAAATCTGTTTCCAACTAAATTTGATTTTTTTGCAGCTCATTTTCTATTAGAAAGATTTTTTAAATAAAATTTGTGTATAGCTTTGTTTCTTCGTTATTATGGAAATGTTACAATAGACACATAATACTTTTATGAAATTTTTATTCGTGTATACCTACGTGGAAAAAGCCCCGAGCGTGTTTCCTGTTCCCGGCCATATTTCCACCGTTTTCCGCATTGTCTCTGCGTGGAATAACGTATAAAAACATAAATATTCCTGATGCATTTTCATACAAGTTTATTATTCATCCGGCGTTACGAATTGACTGCGCTTATTTTTCACGAGTATGTGTGCGCATAGCGCATTTTTTCTTATGGCTGCCATCATCGTTCGGAATATGCAGGTAATCGGAGCAAGCACCGAACGGGAACAAATATTAAATACTCTTTATGAGTTTTACGGTTATGATTTGCGGTTTTATTTGTGTTTAATTATTGATTTGATAGCAAAACAAATAAAATTTATAACAGTTTTAGATTTTTTTATGACCAGGTTGAATTTTTTCCGTTTTACATACATTATACATATATTATTGGATTTTAATAAATAATAGCGGAACTATTTACTTCTTTGTTGCTCAATTTTAATTTTAAAAAATGGGAAATGTCAATATTGCACGTTTGAGCCAATTAAATGAATTAAATTTTAATCTCAACCTTTATTCCTTATTATACTCAGTAAGTTTTAACTAAAAGTAATCTATTTGCTTTTCCATGCTCAAAAATATCTCTATACAAAAATTTATCAAAATTGATTCAGTGGTTTTAGCGTGAAAGCGTCACAAATAAACAAACAAACTCACATTTGCATTTATGAGGTTTTTTTTGATTTTTACTCCTCCGGCACAATTTTAAACTTAAAATTACAAAATAATGACATAAAAAATACTGAAAAAACTTGCATTGTAAGCTATTAATTTTAATTTTTCTCAGATATATTAAACTTCCACAAATGTCATTAATTTTCTGCGGGCTTGCACTTTGGACATTCTTGACAAGACCAGCTTGATGCATTTCCTAACGCCCAACACACGATAACGTGAGATAACGCAATGAAATTATAACAATGTGCATCATCACCCAACTTCCAACCGACAGGCAGCTCTAGCCATCAACGTGTCTTAAGATACGTCATCCGGTTGACGGCAAATGAGATCAGCGTTTATGGCAAATAATTTCAGATAACAGATATCAGTTAATAGCTACGATTTTAGGTTAGGAAAGTATTAAACACGATGTCAAAATCAATATCAATATCACCGACTGCAACAACGCAAATATGAACTAAATTTGAACGCAGGTACCTAATTTTTAAATTCCTACTTGTCTTAATTAATGATAAGTACATACCTGATATGAGCACTAGGACAATCCACATGATACCAACGAGGCTCTTCATCATGTCATTGCGGCGTCATCTCCACATGTTTGCTCGTCAATTATCTGCAAAAGTACACAGGAACACAATTAATTACATCCGTAATATATAGGCAACCAAATATTCACATAATATAATATGGCGTGTTCTTGAACATTATTTTTGTTCGCCATCGATTGTGAAGAAAACGTTTACACATGTGGGGGGTTGCTAAGAGACACACTTGCGTTTTCCGCATTTATCCCTGACTTTCATCCCCGAATGTAGACTGGTTGAAAATCGTTTGCGCGCTGGAGCGCAACCACTCAGCGAGCTCAATGTGGTAATGTGGCAATCGTGCGAGTGCGATGTCGACGACGAGGATGAGTTTCATAAGTAACTTAACACATTAATCTCTCTATGGTGATCTTCTCTGTGTGGGTGAGTGCTAGTTTACTGACTTTCAATTGTCTCAACGACTTTTCACTCTCGGCGTTTTAATATTGATGGACTAATTAGAGCAGGCAAACACAATGGAAACGGTTCAATATTTATGATTGAGGTTATGTACGTGTTGAGGTATATATTGTTTGTTTCCATGCAAGAAACACACTCAAACATTTTGTGTCCGATTGTGTTATTATGGCAGACGATAAATCACTAAGCGATTTTTTATGCGCGTCCAACAATAATTTATCGACTAATTGATGGCAAGCCAACGGTCGATACGGACAGCACAAAACATCTTTCAGATGAACAATCAATCAAAACAAAAAATTCAAAAGAATATAAATTACATATATTGAAATTCAATGCTGGTTTTATACTGCCATCTATGTGTTCTCATATTAAATTTGATTTAAAACATTTTTCTATATTTTTCAATAGTTTAAACACCCTGTGTGTGATTCCCTGAAACCTTTCGGGATTAATGTGTTTTTGACGTACAAATCGCCGACGGATTTTAATGTGGCGGCGATTTATTGATTATCCGTTTAGATTCCTGTCGAAAATTGTCGAATGGCTGCCAAAAAAGCGTGAAAACATTAACCAACCAACATTTCGCGCTTTTTATCAATTAAATCATACACATAAATCAATAGCTTTAAATCACGCTAGGCAACCAAGCATACAGATAGGACAAAGCAGCAAAGCAAATGTTTTTCGCGTTCGTTTTTTGTTCAATGTTTGTTTTTGCGCAGTGTTCTGCCGAACGTTCGCACGAATAGTATGTGTCTGCTATAATAGTGTATCTTCGTGTCCACTTATCGTTCGATCCATTATATTGCGAGCGTGGTGCTCGCCTCATCAATTAAAGACGTCGCAAAGTGCGCGTCGACAGGCGAGCGCACCTCCGACGTTTTTATCGTAATTACCAAGAAAGTAAACATGCTACGTGTAGCGCATACACTATAGGTACTAAATTTTATATGTCAGTTTCAGACAGTTTATTGTTGAAGAATAGTTTAGTTTTATTCCATGACTTTTTAAAGAAAACGTATGAATTAAAAAAAGGGGTTTTAGAAAAGTCGCTGCAAGTTTTAACAAAAGTTTTAACTAAAAGTTAGTTTTTTAAACACTCTTTTTTAATTAATTCGGATTTATAAAAATTAACTGTTGGGGTAGCAGAAAAACTATTAAAATAGAAAAAATTATGATATTAATGACATGTAATCTATGATATAAAAATGTATCACAGAATCTGTTGGTAAGCGCATAACTCAACAACGCCTTCACCAATTTGGTCAATTCTTTTTTTAAATGTTCGTTAAAGTCCAGAGATGGTTTTTACAGCGAAAAAAATTCGAATAATTGCCGGGGAAAATCATAAAGACAGCCCTCTTCTATAGGATAAAAGTTGGCATTGAGATTCATTCATAGTTATAGTTAAATACATAGTTAAACTGAGATGTCGTACTGAAGTGCATTATTAAGAGAGAGTAAAATGGCTTAAACTCTTTTAAAAACCCTTTTTTTAATTAATACTGATTTATAAAAATTAACTGTTGGGGTAGCAGAATTACTATTAAAATATAAAAAATATGATTTAAATGACATGTAATAAGAGATGAAAATAATTGAATCCGAAATAACGCTAAAGTACTTTTAAGTATTTTTTTTATTCTCATTTTTTTTTTTAAATAAAATTGCAAATTTGATTGCACCTACCTACTAAACCTTGAAGAGAATAATTACATATTAACTTAAGAGTACATGAGCAATGTTGCAGACCAAAAGCTAGTTTATAATTTAAAAACTTAAATGATGACATTTTATGTTATATTGTATTTCAGATCTTGATATTTTTAATGACACCATTTTAAGATTCATGTTTTTCTTGTAAACTATGTTCCTATGTGAACATGAAAATACAAGTTAAATTCGCAAAAGGAATTGAAAGCAATAACGACGCGCAATGAAAGTAGGCGCACATTGTTTGGAGCAGTTCCACTGCCATCTTTCATCCCCCCTCGCATCCTTTTTCCTTCCTTGTCGACGCCAAGGTATGTGTGTTGTGTATGTTGTATAACAAAATTTAATAAAGGACGCGCAGGCACTAATGGGGCCTTCGCTGCCACTTTATCCCCACACCACAAATGCGCGGAGGGTGGATGGCAGCCCCCTCGCTACAGAGCACGCACATAATTTATTTATCAAAGTAAATTACGAGCGACGCAGACACACTCATTAACCCCACTTATGCGCGCGCGGTCTAATGAAAAATTATTGTTATTCTAATGCGCGATGTCACCGAAGGGGGTTGTTGTAGTTTAAAGTGCCATTTGTCTTCTCAAGAATTGCACTAATAGTTTTATGAAGGGTTCAATTCATAAACAATTATTAAAGTTTAAAAGTACATTTTGTATTCTTATAGGCAACTCAATGCACACCATTAATATTGCTGAGTTGAAAGTTGAGAGTTTGGAAAGTAAAAAGTTTGATTTACGATTGAGAAACTTTTTAAAAACTAATTGTCAAATTTAATATGGGGAGCCAAATATGCTATTTGTGTGGAGTCCCCGATTTGTTCCGCTTTCCGATCGCTTTTCATCTTTCATTCTTCTTGTGCGCATCTCGGGATGAAATTTACATTTCTGCATTAATGTCGGCAGCGTATCTCGAAATATATTCGATACATTCGTGCCAAATGAGTTCCGCGAAAGCATCACGTGTCATTCTCAAACATTAAAGTTCGAAAAGTCAGCTCAGCGAGGATAATGAAAACAAATAAATCAATGCGGATTCAAGCGGAGTAAAAGTGGCTAAAACCCAGTGAATAATATTGGGTGTTAGTGTCATGTGGGTTCGAACACGTTGACGGAAATCAGGGAAGTGAAACTTATTCGACGTGTGAATGACTTTCGGTTGTTAGAGAAATCAAATCATTTGCACAGCTATTTTATGTAAGAAATTAATAGTTGTTATAAAATGAGAATTTTTGAGGTAAGCACGAGTTAAAATTAAGCTAAAATAATTATTTATATATCAAACAAAGTTGTGTTAGTTAAAACATTTTTAACTCAAGAACGACTCAACAGATTTTGATGATTTATGATTCGTTGGATTTGTCTTAATCTCAAATAACAGAATAACTATTGAAATGTTAAAAATAATGAAGTAAAGAATGTTAAATAAGTGATGAAAATTAATATAGAGATTCTATCATAGTTATAACTAAATAATTGAATCATAGATGGCGCTCAAATGCATTATTAGCATTTCACAATACTTTAAAATTAAATTACGAATTTAATTTATGAAATTGATATAAACTAAGTCCAAGAAAATAAAGATTAAAGACAAACTGATAATCTAAAGATGAATTAAATTATTACCAGAAACTACGAACGAAGTCGCAGGCAAAAGCTTGTTTATATATAAATCCACTTGAAACATTGACGTTATGTTCACGCATGGTAAAATAATAAATGCAGTCAATGCTCGCGATGCAACGCGACGATAAACGTCGTCGAGCGCACGAATATTGATAATTCGCTTGCCATGGCAAGCCGCCCCCGGCGCCGGCGATCGTTATGAATTCACTCGGCGCGCACGCACATAGCAAATGATCGCCCGATCACGATCGCACTATTAAACATCGTAAAATTTATAAACTAAATGCACTCGTTTATTACAACGAGTAGCATAAATTATAGGCAACCCAATTTACATCCAATAACAAACTGCATATCTACAATATTAAATTTCTTTAAACTGTGCGGGGAAAAAATGTTATCATTGAGTATGCAAGGAAGAAAAACTAATTTATCGCTTGACTAAATTACGCAACGTGAGCGGCTTGGTGATATGCTCGGGCATCGTTAGCGATCATAAAATCTTCGTCTTCTGTCGCTTTCAGTCTACTTGAATCCCTGGAACGGTTTTTTTTTATTCCTCAACCCGGACAGATGCATTTGTCTTACTTTGTAATTTGCTGATATGCTTCGCCAAGTACGGAAGCACAGTCCTAGAAGACAATCGATGGGAGAAAGTTGGCTCACTCAGAATCATGTGCGAACATGAAAGTGAAGAAAATGAGTTTGGAGCGAAAATCTTGTCAGCGTGCCAATTGAAATAACGATTTGATTGCTTCTCGAAAACATGTCATTGTAGTAGTGAGTTCTAATTAGATTCATTACACTTTTTATGATTTCTATCAATATAGGCAACCCAAATAACCATCTAACTATTTGGGTTGCCTATTATTAAAATATCCTTACTAATATTATAAATGGGAAAGTCCTGATGTTTGTTACACTTTCACGCAAAAACTACTTAACAGATCATCATGAAAATTTGTCACACAAATTCTTAGTGGTCCCCGAAAGGTTATAGGCTACTTTTTATTTAATAAAAAAATTATTTTTAAATAAAATAAAGAAATTGTTTAGTCCATAATACCTCTGCATCTGGCTATTTGACTACTTTAACGCCATCTAGCATTCCAGCAATGAAGCTCAAACCTAAGTACTATAGTACCATCACACTGTATTATCACACTGTATTACCGACAGCTACGTCAACATCAAATCCAATTGACTACACTATGGAGACTGTACACTATACTTCCATAGACTATACTTTC